GTTACAAAAATACAATACCTACATATTTTTTTTAAATCTGTGATCAGAATAAGCTGATATTTATAGGGGAATGAATAAAAAATGTCATTTAGCTTTACGTTGTTTTTATTCGTTAAATTTTATCTTCGTTTACGATAAAAAAATTGACTTATTTAAAAAATCATTATTGAAGAATTTTTTGTAATTGTATAAGTAAACTACTACAGAAACTACTTTATAAACAGTACATTTTATTTTGAACTAGTTGTTCTATCGATGGTAGAATTTGTAACAAATGATGTTTTCATCTAAATGAAAAGCTAAATATATTTGTTATCGATTAAATAAAATTAAATGCTCTTAAATTGAAAACAAATATTTAAAATTTTAATAAAAAATTGTTTAAAACAGCTACTATTAAATCATATAATTAATCGTATAATGTTATTAAATTATAATGACAACATATAACGTACAATTAAATCATACATTATTATAGGTATGTACACAAATCTAGAATAATTACACAATTAATGGAGGTATATATACAGGTATTTACAACTCTGTACAATATTTCTTCTAGGCAAGCTATATTTTTTAAAATTATTGACTCTAAAACTACTCCAAGACATCCTACGGTCACAAAATATTTCCTACGGTAGAAAAACAATCTTTCACAGGGACACTAGTTGCCAGAGAATTTAATTTATAGCGTACAAGTATTACCAAATGTGAGTATGAATTTATATAAGCCTTCCACCATTCTAAAATGAGATTTTCATATGACTGAATCAACCATGTATCGTTGAACTTCAACCTCGGCTTTAGAAAATGCGGTACCACTGGGCGTAATATTTTGATTTCTTTTGTAATAATGAACCCAAGTAGAGTTCGCCGATCCGGATACTGAAGAGGTTTCTATAATACTCTGTTCTTCTTTTGGTGTTTCCTCTGAAATTAGGGACGTTAATCCATATTTTCGTCTTCGAAATAAAGTTTGTAACAAGGGTGCAGAAACATGCATGTGTAAAAGTGCGGCTATATTCTAGTTAAGAAAAACGTGTTTGGTGTCCATTTGGAATATTCTGCCTTACCATTTCCACGTCGTCTGGTAAAGGCTCGGTAGAATCTAGTATTAACGCAACTAACGCCAATTTCAAAGCTATAGTTATAGGGATAACCAAACTATCAGACACATATCTTTCACCGGTAATCTCTTTTGTTACTTCTTCACAGGGCTATAGAACTAGGACGAGTTTTTCGTTCCAGCTTGGTCTAAGTAGTGTTTTAACTTTTCCTATGCAACCGTACTTTTTTTTAAATGTGGGACAACGTTCTGTGCATTTTGTATAATTTTAGACATCGTACTATTTTTTTTATAGAACAAGGACAAACGGGCACGAGGCTCATCTGATGTTAAGTGATACCGCCGCCCATGGACACTCTCAATGCTAGAGGGCTCGCGAGTGCGTTGCCAGCCTTTTAAGAATTGGTAGCTCTTTTATTGAAAGACCCTAAGCCGAATTGGTTCGGAAATACTTCAGTGGGCAGCTGGTTCCACATAGCGGTGGTGCGCGGCAAAATTGCCTTGAAAAACGCTCAGTTGTGGAACGGCGGACGTGGAGGTGATACTGGTGGAATTTCGTTTTCTGCCTCGACGTCCGATGATGAAACTCAACTGCAGGTATTAATCCGAACAATTCCTCTGAACACTCTCCATGGTAAATGCGGTAAAAGATGCAGAGTGACCCCACATCTCTACGCAACGCCAAAGGATCAAGCCGCTCGGAGAGCGATTGGTCGTCGACGATTCGAACCGCTCTTCGTTGAATACGGTCAAGGGAAGGAGCTGGTACTTGGGAGCCCCCACCCAGAGGTGAGAACAGTACTCCATGAGGGGCCGAATTTGCGCTTTATACAGTTGCGGTGGCCCGGAGTGAAGTACCGTCTTGCCTTGCTAAGCAAACCAAGCTTTTTGGAGGCTTATTGTCTTTCCCTCCAAATGACCGCGAAATTTAAAATCGTTCGATATGTCAACGCTAAGTATTCCGATGCTAGCTGTGGCTTTAAGAAGAGTGTATTCGAAAAGGCTTTCGCTATGTCCAAACTAAGCGCTAGCGCCTCCCCCTTGTACTTAATTGCCTCTGCCCATCTATGTGTAAGGTGCAACAGAAGTAAGTGCATGCAAGAAGGCCGAACGACCACGACGAAAGCCGTACTGATAATCGCTAATCAGCTGGTGGCCCTCTAGATACCTCAAGAGCTGGCCATCAATAATGGATTCCATTATTTTCGAGAACAATGAGGTTATAGCTATTGGGCGATAGTTGGACGGATCAGAGCGATCGCCTTTTTTAGGGATCGGATGTATTGAAGCGATCTTCCAGCACTTGGACGCGAAGAGACAGCCCAAGAGGTCGGCCTTCTCCTTCGCGGAGTGGGCCAGCGAGTCATCTTCCCGGTGAGGTGGTGGAATGGCGGGCTGACAAAAATTCCCTTGGACAACTTTGACGAGAAACCAGAAGGCTCGAGTCCCCGAAGGGAGTTGGGCCGATCTCTCGCAAAATCTGGCAACGGGCTCTGACTTTGCCTTAGCGATTTCCCGTTTATTTTAAAGCCTTAGTAACCGCTAAATTAATACAATGCACATAGCAATTGAAGGGTTTCCGACCCAAACATTTCTCTATCGCACACTTAATATTGGATCCGTTGTCTGAAATTGCAAGAATTATTTTACGTTCTATGTACCACTCAGAAACGATGCGCGATAATTCTTCGGCTAAATACGAAGCCCTGTGTGACGTTTTACTCAAGACACAACATTAAAACAACTAAGAGAATCGATCGGAAGATCATGTCCACCGCACCATCAATAAAATGTCCGGTAACACCCTAAAACCAGTCACCGCTACGAGATGTCCACATATCAGTAGATTAACATAACATATGTAACCATTTCCATACTTAGCAACTCCTTTACTTTATTTTGGTGACTTCATATAGAGCAGGCAGCAGATTATTTGAACAAAAAAAAAATCTTGTGAGTGCAACATAGTTAGGAAAGACAAATGTTATAAATATACACATATCTATATCTATATATAATAAAACTAAGTCGATAAAATGTGCGTGCCGATAAAACTTAAAAAGGAGTCCCGACACGATAAAGGGACTTATGTGGTGTGATAGCCCTTTATCCCCCCTCGAACAAGAAAGTTCTCGTTTTAATCTAAAGGGCATGTTTTTAAAGATATAAGGGACTTTCCGACCCTTCAACTTGGAAATTAAGTGCAGTGACGCCATCTGTCGAATATTTGAACTTCATTCAGGACAACGATTGTTTGGGTTGCATTTCCAAAAGCGTTGCGAGCAATTGTAGCATGTGTAGTAGTGACACGAAATTTAAAATTCCAATTTCAATAAAGTCTTAAATTTAATTTGTTGCTATAAAAAAGTTATTAAATTTTGTGTCTTTATACGTCATTAGCTAACTTATATTTTGGAGTTAAAGCGACATAATTTTAGTTATCCAAATTAGTTCTCAAAATATTTAAAAATTTAGGTTTTTAAATTTCGCGCCTTTACTACATACGCTACCGCTACAGAAGCTAGAAAGTTCCCGTTTTAATCTAAAGGGCGTGTTTCTAAAGATATAAGGAACTTTCCAACCCTACAACTTGGAAATTAAGTATAGTGGCGCCATCTGTTATCGAATATTTGAACTTCATTCAGGACAACGATTGTTTGGGTTGCATTTCCAAAAGCGTTGCGAGCAATTGTAGGATGTGTAGTAGTGACACGAAATTTAAAATTCCAATTTCAATAGTCTTAAATTTAATTTGTTGCTATAGTAAAGTTTTGTGTATTTATACGTCATTAGCTAACTTATATTTTGGAGTTAAAGCGACATATTTTTAGTTATCCAAATTAGTTCTCAAAACATTTAAAAAAGTGGTTATTTCAAAGAGCAATTTTGGCCACTAAAAATAATATTGTTGACGATATCAATTTTAATATTCTAAAGAAAATACCTGGTGAAGAGAAAATATATAAATCGATCGACACGATGGTATCCATTGAAGAAAGTGTCAACTTCCCCACTGAATTTCTAAACTCTTTACAAGTACCAGGAATGCCATTACACTGCCTTCGTCTGAAAATTGGAACTCCAATCATACTACTCAGAAATCTTAACTCCCCAAAATTATGTAATGGAACTAGAATGATCGTAAAACAGCTATCGAATAATATCATTGAAGCTGAACTTATTTCTGGAAAGACCAAAGGACAGACAGTATTTATTTTTATACCTAGAATACCTCTGATCTCTTCGGAATTGCCATTTCAATTTAAAAGACTGCAGTTTCCAATAAAATTAGCCTTTAGTTTTACAATTAACAAAGCGCAAGGACAAACTTTAAAATATTGTGGCATTAACCTCAAAGAATCCTGCTTCTCTCACGGTCAGCTATATGTAGCTTGCTCAAGAGTAGGAAATCCGAAAAATTTATGTATATATACTCCGGACAATAAAATGAAAAATGTTGTTTATAAACAAGTATTGTAAATAATGAGAAAACGTTTTCAATAAACTTTTTTTTTACTTTTTACGTCATAGTTTATTTTTTTATTTCGACTCTACCACGTCATCTCATATCTACTCCCGGGCGAAGCCGGGTTTTTTAGCTAGTATAAGTAATAAATCCAATGCTTAAAGATGCATAAATCTTCTATATCGGGATTCCATACACTGTGAGTGTATGGAACGTGAAAATGTTCACATCTCGATATTGAGAGTATTTCGTGTTGTGGATTGAAATAGCTGCCGTAAGTAGTGCCGCATAAGGTAGAAATTCATTTAGCACTTGCAAGGGTTCCGTGAAACGCCTTCGTGCTCAAATGACGGACTTACTATTTACACGTTTCAAGCTAAACCTAGTGTTAAAACCTGTTATTTGATATACACCGCGACTCTAGTTAAATGAATAAAATAATACACAAATTGTATAATATTTTTATATCTATTCTGCCCAACCCCACAGGCCATGACTCTCTCTGATGGTCTCCGTGTTGTCTCTTCTTTGTCTTGTGACAGCACTAGCTTCCCCTTTCGCAATCGCCTTCTTTCTTTCCATCTTCTTCTGCCTCTGTTCTAGATTTCTCTTTACTTGCGATTTAACCACCTCGGGGGCTATCGTACTTGCAGAGGTATACGATCTCATAGATCTTACATCAGATAAAGCTTTTTCTATCATCGCCAGTCTGTACTTCTGTGATGTTTTATCTTCTTTGTTCTCTTCGTTATCTTCTGTATTTTCTTTTGTATCAGGTTCAGTGGATGGATTTAATACCAAAGTAGGCACTTCATCATCTAATGATAAATTGTCTGTTCTTTCGGTAAGTTTCTGAACAGTTTCATCGTGTTGAATAGATGCTTCAACCTAAAAATATTTATACTATATTTATACTATATTTATATAATATGTTTAAAAACATATGTAATGCATATCTAAAATTAATTCAATTTATAAAACTGACTTTTTTTGTATGAATTAGGTTAGTTTTAAATTACATATTTGCCTTAAGTTAGGCTAGATTGTTATGTTATTCATTGTATCTTTGTGCAAAGACAATTTATTAAAAAAAGTTGAATACTTTTTAATTTATACAATTCTTCTTTAATGCAATAAAAAATGTTTGAAATTAGATGTTTCTAACACATATTTCTTTAGGAATGCAATCCAGTCTGCCAGGTTATGCGCAGTTAGAATAACATTTAATGAAGCTGTAAAAGAATTAGAAAATGTATGAAAATTTAAGAAAACTTACCTCTTGTCTTAGACAAGCTATTTCATCTTCATCCATTTTCGTGGAGTTTTCGTTAGTATCCTCTGTATCACTTTGTTCATCACCAATGACTTCAAGACCAATACCCATTTCCTATTAAATATAGACAAATAGATTTCAATTTAAAAATATTATTTTTTGTAAATTGTCAAGTTTCTTTGACAATCATATATTATATTTTTCCAAAACATAATTTTATTATAAATATGCGCTTTGTCTGTGTATTTACATGCCTATCGGCTATCACTAAAACTACTTCTCATCCTCATCTTCCAAAAGGTTATCTACATTTGGATAATGTTATAATGAGCTGTCAAAATATGTTAAACAAAAGCAATTACCTGAAGCAATTCATTTTCAATGGCTACATCCCGTTTGTATCCAGAACAAGATACTTCAGTGTCAAGTTCGTCATCTCTTTCCAACTCTGAAAACCTTGGGTACTCTTCACTCTCATAACTGAATCGTTTCTTGAAGAATTCACGAATACAGCGTACGTCACGGTCATAATATCTGAAGAAAAAAAAGTATCATGTAGTAAGAATCCCAATAAAATTATAAAACAACACATAATATACTAAAAAAAATATAATATAAAATGCACTACAAAAAAACTATAACATGCAAATATAAACTATATTATACTTTTATATACCTATATAAAAATATTCTTAATGAAAATTAGAATAATTCAAATAAATGTCGTTTTCTAAAATTGTAGACATCATCATAAAATGTTTATATGATGATGTCTACTATTTTTTGTAAAATTGTGAAGAGAAGACTTCATGTTTAGCAGACAAAGAAATCAAAGAAATTTATCTACTTACTGTTCAGCGTTAGGATGCCGAGTGGAGACCATTTGAGGGAAATCAATGATAATTGGGTGTCCATCTTCATCAATCATTATGTTGAATTCATTAAAATCTCCATGTATGACACCACAGTTCCCCAAACGGACTATTAGACCCATTAACTCATCATATAGCCATTCTACGTCTGATACTGAGGTTACATGTGTTCTGAAATTAATAATTACAGTTTAACACATTAAAAAAAATATTACAAATGATATAGCTGATTAAGCGCGAAGTATGGCTCCAGCACTACTAATAAAACACATTGAACTGAAGTCGTGGATAACTTTAACATTATTATCCTATACATTACTAGCTGACCTGGCAAACATTATACTAACTACTATAATAAAAATAGGGGTTGATCGTAAAGGGGTGAAAATTAGGGGTTGTGTGTATTTTTATATCTTGTATCATAAAAAAATAAAAACAAAATAATTGTCTAAAAAATAAAAACTAAATTTTTGGTGTAGACACCCCTTATCACTTAGGGGTTTGAAAGATAGATAGTAACCGATTCTCAGACTTACTGAATATGCATTAAAAAAATTTCATAAGAATCGGTCGAGCCGTTTTGGAGGAGTATGGGAACAAACATTGTGACACAAGAATTTTATATATTAGAATTAGATAAATAAGTTGGCCAGATCAGATACACTCCAAAACAATTCATTATTTTTGCTAATTACATGAGATAGCAGCAGGATGTAGACTTCTGCCGGCACTCCCGGAGTGCAACCCATATTTTTTTCAACATCACATTGGCTTAGTACTGTAAGGATAGTGTATGTATTTTTGTGAATAAATAAATGAATAAACAAAATAAAATATTTATAACATACTAAGAAGGATAATATTACCAAAGTTACTTACAATGGTCCTCCATTTACAAGCTCCATTACAACACAGTGTCGATTAAAGTCTATTGGCTTGGGTACAGGAAAGTCTCTGTCATATAAAGCCTTCATGTATGCAAACTCTTTCGTGGCTGAAATTCTTGATAAATAAAGCCACGAGGCACGATTGCGGTGGGCATGGTAATCTCTCTTGTCTTTTATTTTACGAAAGCAGGTACGACCAAGTCTGGAATTATTGAAAAAAATTATAATAAACACCATGAATGTATTTTAAAAACAACAAATTAAAACAAAATTTGAATAGCTTCTACTAATCTAAAAAAATAAAAAATCTTTTAAGTAGCCAAGTTTTACATTACTAATTTTTGTGCACCTATACATAAGAATGAAAATCTAAAATTATTGTACCTATGTAATTTCAAACATAAAGGTGTTCTATCTTCATCTGCTACTATGTAAATATTAGACTCTTTTCCCACACCTATCTGATTTCCAAATGATGCAATTACTTTTCTGTTTGTCAAAGCTTTAAGTGCCAAGTAGTCATAGCCAGAATTTGTGAGCCGATAACCATCATCTGAAATCAAACATTTCAAATTAAAAAGCTTTAAATCTTCTTAGCTGAAGGCCCCAGCAAAAAAGAAAATAATCTTTAAAAATAAAAAGCTAGATCAAAAGGTATTTTAGACAATTTGTACATTTTGTATTGCTAGCATAGTATTAAGTACTAATTGTACACAGCCTAGAACCTACATTGCTTTCCTCTCTCGTACGTGAGCAACCTATGTTTACATAAGTCCTTCATCAATTTGTGGACTCCACCATGACGTAAATTGGCAATTGAAGCAACTAAAGACCCTGGCACTAATTCATGGTTCTTCATTCCCATTTCAACCTGAAAATAATTCATTATGTTGGAAAAATAGTAGTCAATATAACCTTCTATATAATGTTTTTATAAATATAGCACTTACCGCAGTTAAAACTCGAAAATCCTCACCAGTTAAGTAACGCAACATTGCAACGTCGAGTTTTCCCATGATTTATAGTTATTGTAATCGAACAATTTGATTATTTAAAATACACAATGTTAACTTAAAGCCATGCCAAAAATAAAAGACTACAAAAATACAACGTATAGGGATGCTCGATGATCATCGATGTTGATTGTTGAGAGCAAAAACATCGATGTTTCTATACCAAAAATATCGTAACATCGATGTTAACTGAATCGAACAGATGTTAACTCATGGCCTCCCACACGACCAATGCAACTTACGAAGCAAATTATGTCTTCTATGAAACCATCCACATATCAGGTTTATTAAAATTTTGAACACGTATTCATTCTTTGCGCCCAGGTAGTAGTAGTAGTAGTAACTAGTAGCCGTCGTAGTCTTGCTCGCTCTTTCTCTCTCTCACTCCCTTGTTACTTTTTATCAACAAAGAAATATATTAAAAGGTTCTTCTTTATCAACATTACTTTTCATTCAGTCAGTTGATAAAAAATAACGGAATATGTAATAATTTGTTCTGTTTCTTAATAAATTTCGAACCATTTCACTGTATTTTATTTCTTTGTCAATTATTAATGCAAAAATGTTCAGTTTTCGATAAATTTCGAACATAGATGTTTGGCTTTCGATTATAACATCGATGTCAAGTCAAAAAAATTACGTTGACTATCGATGTTAAGCGGCCCCTAGACGATCAATTATATTGCGCAATATTGAAAATTGTGAAATATAATTAATCGTCTAGGGGTAATATTGAAGATTGCACCATATTTTTCCATTGCGTCGTGTAGGGTCAGCATTGCGCAATATTTTTTGTCTGTGTTTCGTCGGCAAGGAGGACACACGCGTGCACGCTTCCCAAAAATGGCAGAAAAAGATAGTACGAAAGTTAAGGAAAGAGAGTTTATCGTAGGAGTGAGACGTATTTACCATACCAGGTTTGTAAACCAGGGCTTTGCTTCGAAGGACGGCGCCCTGGTACGGGAAGGAAATACTTGCAAGTATGAAAGTATTTGCTGTGCTATCGGGCGAGAAAATACTTGCATAGGAAATCGATCCATCTTAATATACAAATAAGAAGCAGAATCGTATTTGCAACAAAAAATACGTGAAACTTGCAAGTATTTTTTTCACTGAGACGATTATGGTCTTTATTCTTAAAGTAACACGAGTCAATTTCCTATGCAAGTATTTTAGTATTTTGCCGTGAGCCCTTCGTTTACAAATAACCGTCATATACTGATCAAAATAAGGAACATAATTGTATTAACATTCAATAATCGTAACTTTACTCTTTCTTTTGACTAGTTCACGCTATTCATTCTTATGTCTATACACAAAAGACACATAATTGCGTGTACAAAAGTATTGTTTTAAAAAATATACTTATGTGCCACTTAAAGTTTGTTTATTTCAAGTAATAGTTTAGTTTCCGTTTTTTTATTTTTTGTCAGTTGTGATTTGAGTGCGAGCTTGTTACGTCAACGACTAACCGTGACCTAAATTACAAGCAATTTTTCGGGAGTTTATTGATTTTAAAGTCAATTTTCGATTTATTATATAATATAAATTAGTGAGTGTATAAATGTATAAAACTGTTATTTTTTTAATACTGTGTTTAGTTTAGTTTCGCGAGTTTAAAGGACCGACAATTTTTGAACTCGAAATAGGTAATAGAGTGTGAATAAAACTGTGATTTCGTCATTAGATAATAGTTAAGTTACAAATATTTTTTCCGAAGTTTATTGAATTTAAAGACAATTTTCGAACTATTAATAGTGAGTGTATAGATGTATAAAACTGTTATTTTTTTAATTCTGTGTTTAGTTTAGTTTCATGAGTTTAATGGACAGACGATTTTTGAACTCTAAATAGGTAATAGAGTCTAAATAAAACTGTGTTTTCGTTATTAGATAATAGTTAAAATACATAGTTAGATAGGTAGAAACTTGTGCTAAATAATAATATAGTCACAAACCATGGCTCCAAAGAAAAGTTTGGCTTGGGATCATTTTGTGGACAAAGGTGAAAATAAAGCTGAATGCAAAATGTGCAAAGTCATTATCTCATACAAATCAGGAGTGTCAAACCTTACCAAGCATGTACAAAGAAAACATATTTCCGTTAACTTAGTGAGAAGGGAACAACAAGTGGATCGTCAAGAAGAACAAGAGGTACAGGCGCATACTTCACAAACTGCACAAATTACGGCAGTCAATACTGCTATACAAACTATCGCATCTAATACGATAAGGTCCAATCCGAACCCATCCAGTATTACAGCATTCCTTCGGCGCGATTGTCAAAAAATAAAAAAACAAATTGATGATCATTTAATGAATTTGTTCATATGGGACTTACAGCCTTTTTCAATAGTAGAAGACAAAGGATTTCGCGAATTAATAAATTTTGCTTTCCCAAATTATACAATACCATCACGAAAGTATTTCGCCAATAATTTATTGCCGGGGCTATATGAAGAAATAAAGATAAATACAAAAACAGCTTTAAATGAAGATGCAAAAAGTGTATGTTTAACGACCGATATGTGGACGTCACGAAATAATGATTCTTACCTAGCCGTTACGGGTCATTACGTAGATAAAAATTTTATCCTTCAGTCGGTTTTACTGGAATGTAAAGTATTTGAGAGCAGTCACACGGCACTTCATATAGCACAAGAATTAAGAAATGTGGCTCAAGATTGGAACATTTTAGATAAGGTCCTCCTTGTAGTGTCGGACAACGGGGCTAATATAAAAAATGCCATACTTCAATTAGAATGGAGACATTTTGGCTGTTATGCACACACACTTAACCTAGCAGTACAAAAAGTGTTATCCCACTCAAACGTAAATAGCATAATAGGCAAAGTAAAAGCCATAGTATCCTACTTCAAAAGAAGTAATTTAGCCTGGAATAAATTAAAAAAGTACCAGGAGCAGGCCAATAAAGTAGTGAAGAGGCCAATTCAAGATGTCGCTACAAGGTGGAACTCCACATTTTACATGATAGAGAGGTTTGTCGAACTGAAAGACGAAATCAAATGTGCTTTGAGTAATTTAGACACTGGCAATTTGATTAATCTTACTACATATGAATGGGACATTTGCCAGTCTTTGGTAGTAGTGTTACAACCATGTGAAGAAGTGACAAGAGAGATGAGCGGACAGAAGTATGTTAGTGGAAGCTCGGTTATCCCCTTAACGATTGGTCTTACCAACGCTCTCAAAGAAATCGCAAGTCAGACATATCGGCAAGAAAATAATATTGACATTTTTCCTGATGAAGTGGAAATGTGTCGACAGGATCTGCTTTCAGAAATAGGCACGCGGTTTTCTAATTTGGAACAAAGCCGAACTTATACCGTCGCTATGTTTTTAGACCCGAGATACAAGTTATACTTTGAGAACGAAAATGTTGCAGACAGCACTAAAAAGTATATTGTGGGCTTAGTAACCGCGATGATAAATGAAAATGAAAAAAATCAGTCTTCAGCATCCACTTCTAATATATCAGATAGCCAGGGAAAAAAATCTAACAGCCTATTATGGAAACACTATAATAAACAAATGCACAATGTGCGGCCAGCTGGCACAGCCAATAGCAGAGCCATAATTGAGACGCAAAAATATTTAGATGACACAGTTTTGTCTCCAGACACAAATCCTTTGGAATGGTGGCGAATAAATCAGCAAATATATCCAAATTTAGCCAAACTAGCCAAAATTAAATTAAATGCAATGGCTTCTAGCGTGCCTTGCGAACGTCTATTTTCAGTAGCAGGGAACATATTGACGGAAAGGAGATCCCGACTCGGGAGTCGAAAATTAGAGCAATTGTTGTTTCTCCAACAAAATAAAAAATGATGATTGAGAATTCTATATATATATATATATATAAAAAAAAGTTGTACATATATAAAATGAAATGAAATCTTTTAACTACGCCTGCTAATACTATATTTCACAACTAGCTGATAAATGACCGTAACACTATTAGTAGCAGACAGTCCTAAGCCTGTGATTAACAAAACAAAGTAGGAAGGAAAGATTTCATTTATAAAAAGCCGTGCAAGATTGTGGTACACACACTGTACGATACGATTGCCACCAAATACTTTCAAGTATTTTTATACCTGGTTTTCGTACCTGGTATTTTTTACATACTCGTACTTGGAAGCCCTGGTATTGAATTTTGCAAGTATGTCTCATCCCTAGTTTATCGTCGAATGTATCCAATTGTACAGAGAATTGTCGTCTTTGTGGAATGTTAAGAGCAAAGAATATCATGACCGTGATAAAAAAAAGCTGATTACGAAACATTGTTGTCTAAATATAAAGAGATGTTTCCTGAGGCAAGCAAAGATGACATGAAGAAGAAATTCAATTCTTTGAGAACCAACTACCGGAAGGAACTCAAGAAACACCTTCAGTCGATGAAATCCGGATCTGGTACAGACGACATATACCAACCTACTTTATGGTATTTTAATGAAATGTTTTTTTTACAAGATCAGGAAACCGCATCAGATTCACAGTCTAGTATGGATACTCAGTCTACTATACGTAGTCCGAGAGGAGAGAGTGAACATTCTAATTTGGACATTTATTATACACAGGTAAATTTTAATTTATTCGATTTAAGGTCAGTACTCACCAACGGTATTACTCGATAGTTTTACTCGAAGTCGAGTAAAAATCAACGTGTGGACCGCAAAACTCACAGCTCGAAGGCTCGATGGAATTAAATGAAAGTAATTTCCTTCGAACCTACTCGAAGCGAGCCGTCAAACTTGACTCGAACTTGTGTACGTGACTGCGAGTGGCGCGAGGCGAGCGTCAGTCTGGTATTGTTTATCGTGATTAAAACACGTGTTTTTAAGAGAAATGGATTTGCGAGTTTATTCCAAAAGCGCTATAGAAGACTTTATTAATACATATAGACAGTGTGAGTGTTTATGGAATGTCAAGTCCAAAGATTACTCCCACAAAAATAAGAGAAATGAATGTTATGATAAATTACTAGCTGTGCTTAAAACTGCTGATCAGGATGCAAATAAAGAAACCGTGGTCAAGAAGATAAACAGCCTACGTGCTTCTTATCGTAAAGAAAGGAAAAAGACACATGAATCACGAAGTGGAAGTGGCGCTGCAGAAGTATATAATACAAAGTTGTGGTATTTCAAGCTTCTAAATTTTTTAGATGATTCAAGTCCGATTTTACCTACAAGGGACAATCTAAATGAAACACATGTAAGTTGCTATACTTATTACTTATTATTTTTATAATTGTAATTAATTATAATTAAGCTAGTATTAAGTAATCCAAAAAATCATTAGCTCAGTACCTCCTTTTACATTTTTTCTTTTCATTATCTTTGATTTTCTTATAAAGCACTGGGAGACTTGCTAAATACAGCCACCGTCTCCTTTGTTGCACAGACATCCTTTGGCTCGAACGGTTCGGTGAATACTGAACGGCGCGCCTCACTCGATAGATCAATGCTCAATGTGTGGACGAAAGCCCATGCCATGGGTTTTACTCGACAGTTTAGCTCGATCGAGTAATACCGTATGTGAGTACTGACCTAAAAAAAGTACATAAAGTTGTATCTAGGTATGTTTTACGAAACCATTTTCTCTTGCCAGGGAACTGCACCTTCGTTGTTACAAAATCCATTGTATTCGTCCCGTGCTTGTTTTGCGATATTCAGTGATTTTTTTTTATTGATCTTTTCCAATTCTGTCAACTGAAATACTTCCTTTGATGGTGGGTGTATTATTCCTGACTTTGTATCTTCACGAAACATGAATGATGGAGATAAGTAGGAACGGGATTTCCTCAAAAAATTGTGTAGATAACAACAAGCCAAAACAATTTTCCTTATTTTTGTAGGATCAAAAGGAAATGCTCTTTGAAATACTCCAAAACGAGTAGCTAGTATACCAAAAACACTTTCAACAATCCTTCTGGCACGCGATATCCGATAGTTATATATTCTATTCTCTTTTGTTAATCCAGTTTGGCTATACGGTTTCAGTAAATTTTGAGACATTGGAAAGGCATCATCCCCAACAAAAAAGTATGGGAGCTTTCGGGAACTTCCAGGCAACAATGCAGGTGGTGGGATATTTAAAGCATTATTTTTTAATTGTTGTCCAAATATTGTATTCTGCAGCACACCTCCATCTGATACACGTCCATTAGTCTCTACATCAACCATAATGAACTCGTAGTTAGCATTTACAACCGCCATCAACACAATACTGAATGTTTTTTTGTAGTTATAGTAGTATGATCCAGAACCAGGAGGTTTCTTTATTTCCACGTGTTTGCCATCTATAGCACCGATTACATGAGGAGCATTCCACTGACTCTCAAAATCCCTGGCAACTTTTTTCCATTCCTCAGCAGTTTGTGGTAGCTGAAAACAAAATAGCAAATTGTTTATCTTTTTCAGGAAAATAGTTCAACCATTGAAGCTGATCAAGTTACAACTACATCCTATACAAATCCGAAGACAAAATATAAAAAATTAAAGAGGAAATCTGATGATGAACTTATGCAACTTGCAGTTAACCGTCTTAGACAGAAGCCAGACGAATATGAAAACTGGGCTGCGTCTTGTGCTGCAGATTTAAAGAAAATGGAACCAACACAGCAAATCTTTGCAAAGAGTGCTATTGCTGCCATTATCATGGAAGGACAATTAGGTCTTTTACATCGCAATTCGGTTAAAATAAATACTCCAACAGTAACAATAACTCCAACTCCGTCATATACCAGGGCCACGCCAACTCCATCAAATTACAACAGCACGCCATCGCCTCACTATTCTGAACTTCCACCTGAGGCTGCCACGTTACCAACAGAACATGTACTCCCAACAGGATAATCAGCAGAACAGACAATTCTCAACAGGAAAATTATGCTAATGACATATCTCAATATATAAAGCTTAATAAATAAATGTTTATTAAATAATAAATAAATGAAAAGATGTCTTTATTTACCTTGATTAATTTCTTCAAAACATGTATTATGGCTTCGCAGGTTTCCATAATTATTAAGGAAAGACTTTGTGGGGAAATAGCACTATGAAACTTTAAATCTTCTAGAGTATTCCCAGTAGCTAAATACCGTAATGTTATTGAAAGCCGTTGAGAAGGTGGTATTGCTTCCCTCATAATTGTATTTTTTTTCTGAATTAATGGCGTGACCAATTCTAGTAGCACTTGAAACTGTTCCAAGTCCAGTCGTACAAAGTCTTTTTCCTCAGTTAACATCAAGTCCTTTAAGAGATTTTCGTGAGTGTATTTTGGCCTTTTCGTGTACCAATCTTTCGACCAACGACGTGTTCGTTTACGTTTACGCTTAGCCACAAGCAATAACACTACAGCTGCAGCTAAATCTTGTGTGGACATATTGCTCGGGATCAAACTATTCTCCGACTGAACAAGAAAACATTGCACAATTTGCAGTTCCTATTATTGTGCAATATAATTGACCGTTTTAGAAAAACATCGATAGTCAACGTAATTTTTTTTTTAATTTTAAAGCTGGTAACGACTAACGAGTCAATTAAGCCAACTAATTAAGGGAGAAACTAGAAAGTATAAGATAATATAATATTTCGTCTGTACATGGTCTAGTATATTAGTTTATCTGTTACTTGATTCCTAGAGAGACATCCGACTCCAGTGTGGTCAACGTAGGCGATTTATCGCCATTTAGGCTACTCAGGACTAGAATTGGCGATGAAAATATCTGAAAGGTGACTGGTCGCCTATTAGGCTACTTCAGGGACATGTCATGAATCGCAAATGAACTACTTTTATTAAAAATCATAGTTACTCTAAGATCTGTATGAGATATTCAAGTGGTGAGTTTCCGGGCGGGTAATACCCAGAATTTGTCTTAGAAATTATGAAACCAAATTTAGGCGGTGCAATTTACCTACCTATATTGCTGTTAGTGACTACCGCAATTATCTATATTATATTGACTAAATTCGGGAAAATGTTTTGTGCCTTTCGTTTCGTTCGCTTTGACACTTTGTTCTTCAACTTCAACATAACCAGTGGCGTGTAACAAGTAATTTCAAAGCCATCATTTCTGTGAAAAAAGCATGGGAAAACACGGCAAATATGTGTATCGCGAAGAATGGGAAAAAATACCAGTATTCAAAGTAAGTTTAAGAACTAATGTTTTTTTACTGCTTAAGAGAGCCCTGTCCTCCAGTCAGGCAAGCAGGAAATCTCTAGGAACTCTTTCGGTGGCAGATTTGATTTGATTCCCACCTCGGAATAAAATAATGTTTCTACGATCTACAGATATTTGTTCCAGGTCTTCTGGATTAAGTATAAATAAAGTTAAAATTAAATAAACACTACATTTTTATTTTTATATGTCGGCTCGTTTTTATTCTACACTATCCTGAAATTCGGCTACGTTAGGCTACTTATGCTTTGAAAAATAGCGATATCAGTCCCGGTGTCGTTGGCAACACTGTCCGACACAGCACAGTGCACACTGCACACTATACTTGGGGATCCACCAATTTGCCAAGCCAAGTTCATAACATAATATACATAAAAAATTAAACAATAAACATACTGCAAACTTATAACAATAATTAACTTTTGCATTAGATTTTCAATTGTTTAAATATGGTTATGTAAGATGTAATAGTAGTAATTACGAAGGACTTCTGTTGAACTAAGCAAAGAATTTGGCCCAAAAATAAAGCTAGTTTAGATATATGGGATAACTTTACTAATTAAAATGACTTTTATGGGATTTAAAGCAGGTACTATAACTTTAGATGAACCAAGATTAATTTATTATTCTGGACAAGTGCTATCGGGAACAATTCAATTCGAATTAGGGGACCAGTTAACATTTACAGGTAATTTTAATTGTAAGATTTGTATGAAGTTCTTGTATTCTTTGAAACATTAATGCCTATTTATTATTACAGATATTAAAGTAGTTTACATTGGTCAAGCAATTGTAAAATGGCCTGAAAATGAAGTTCAGAAGTACTCAGGTACTTCAAGAGTTCGTCAGATAGATTTTTCTGGAAGAGATGTTTACTTCAGCACTGAACAATCTTTATGTGGAGGTTGGGTATAAATATTTTTCTATAGCTTTGTTATTATTAGTAATTGAAATTACTTAATCATTTATTATTATAAAACCCACATAACATGTCAAATGATGACAATATCTTAATTATAATATAATATGACAACTTTAGGGCCTACTACACTCCCAGCTGGTTCTCATTCCTTCAAGTTCTCATATCAAATTCCACCCAGTGCTCCATCTTCATTTAAAGGCAGCAAGGGTTCTATCAATTACCGAATTGTAGCAGTTATGGAATACCAAGATATGAAAAGAGATGAGTTGAGTGCTGATTTTGAAGTTGTTGCACCTTTGGATTTAAATACTGTGCAAGATATCAAGGTACTCTTTAATTTTATTGCAAACTAATAAGTATCTAACATGGTTAAAGTTGTTAATAAGAGTAAGTTTATAATAAGAAAAGCATTTTGTGTAAGGTCAATAAGAATTGTTAATTCAATATCATTTTCTTTTAATGTTTTCAGAAACCCATTGTGCTTGAATTTGAAGATGTATCCTCCTGTAATTGTTTCTGTCAGGACTCAGTGATAAGTGTCAAAATAGTTTTACCTGTGTCAGGCTATTGTCCAGGGCAAATGATGCAAATTAAAATTGACTCTAAAAATGACAGCAGTGTGGAGGTTAGGAAAATAGTTTTCCAGTTTGTCAAGGTTTGTTATTCTTTAATTCATGATTTTTGTTTTACATTTCTTATTCTCTAAGAAATTAGAGTCATTTTTAGTTAGGAATATGTATTAATCTTAGACTTTCATAGATTAAATATTTACATAATTAATCATTTAATGCTTAGGTCTATCAAGATACATTAAATTTTAACATATTTTTGTACTATATTGTAAGTCTCAGTGCTATTATTTATGTACACAAATATATTTTATAGTAATAGGATTTCTTAATTGTAAATTTTACTAATTACTTGATCAACTAAAATTTACAGAGAGAAAGATATCATTCACAGCAACCAAAGTCAACATACACACCACCAGAAGAGATTTTGGAAACATTGGTTCAAGGTCCAATATTGGCAAACACCAAACGGTCTTTTACATTTCAGATGAGAGTGCCAGATATAATAGCATATAACCTTGAGGCATGTAATATAATAGATGTTGCCTATTTCTTAAAGGTATTTTTTTTTCTTTTTAATCTGTAGGATACTTATCAATATTGTATCAAAAAGGTTTTACATAATGTTCTTATAGAAGGCTATTTAACAATTAGGAGTAGTAAAAAAAATAACTGTTCTTTTTTTAGGTAAAAGTAAAGATGTCTGGCTGTGCTGAAGATCTAGAAGATGAGTGTGAATTATGTATAGGTTTAATACCTCTTAAGGAAACAGTTGAAGGGACATACATACATCCACTTTCATATTTACTTCCAAAAGCTGCCCCACCCAATCCTAACAATATTCCTAATATACCCATACAATTACAAAATGTGAATCAAACACCATATCCGCAAAGTGGTTCCAGTTCTAAAATTCAAATGCCATTTCCACAGGGATATAAACCACAAAATGTCATGAATTCTCCGGTTCCGTATGAAATAGGATTTAAAGTACCAGATATAGTTGTTGAACCGCCATACCCAGTAAATGATGGCAACATGCCGCAGGCAAACAATTTTCCTACACCCAGTGCTCCTCCTATGTGAAGTTGAGATTGGAAATTTTGTCGTAATTTTAAAAATTCAATTTTTATAATAAGCAGAAAATGTATGTACAACAAAGTCTTTGCTTGGCAAAAAGATTTGAAAAATCTAGAATCTCTCTTAAATTTATTTTTTATATTTATAACATAGTTATAGGCTTTAAGCCAATGTGCCTTATAAAGGGCAATGATGCCTTGCCATACATTTCTTATTTGTGCAATGTTCTGAGACTGCCATTTTTGTACTTTTCTAGATTTCATTCTTAATAACATAAAATGATCTAATCAATATTTTTTAAAACATTGTTTTATAGTATACATATATTTCTGAAATTTAGGATGGTTAATATGATGAAGTGCTTTAGATCATAAGAAATATTCTAATATTGTGTAAAAATACCTACTTTTCAATGTTTTTATGTAGTAAATGGATGTATATTATTAAAGATACCGGAAAACATCTTGAACAATTAACAAGGGAGTGGGGGAAAGTTTGCGCAGTGCGGGATACAAACGTCAACTGTTTTACCAATCACGTGATCGACACGTCACCCCCCAGCCGCCGCGCACCACCGTCCGGCCCACCACCCCCTCACAGTTATACCTAAAAATCGCTTCTGCGCAGACAAGGACATTTGTTCAAGATGTTTGCCGGTATCTGTATCAACAGTGATTAAATTTTATCTAAATAAAACATCAGTTTTTTTTCTTTCTTAAAAATAAAACTAAATTTATAAAATATATCATTTATTTATAAAATAGATCTTATATAACATTCAGGCACTTAATAATTTTGTAAAAATTAAAAAAATACTATAAGGAGACAGTACAGTATAATATATATGTATAACAAAAGTTCAATAAATCCGACTAGAAAACAATAGTTATTATGCATTTGTTTTATGAGTATCACTTTTATATCTTAAAATTAAATTATTACAATACATGTCTCAAGCAAGCATTGCAAACATCAGTTTTAGTTAAAATACTTGACTTTGTTAAGAAAAATCCTTGTTTGTATAGTCTAGGTCTAAGGAAGTTTATTGAGACAATTTGTATTTGTTCATTATAAAGTTTACCTTAACACAAATTGAAAGTAATGTGCATTCATGACATGGCATGGTTAGATTCTGGTGTTTAGCAGACACAGGAAACAACTCGAGATATAGGAAGGCAAAAATTGTCATAAAATGAAACATTCCTGTGAAGAAGGTATGCCACAAGTGATAATTTGCAATAATAGTTAATAAGGAAAATGTCATAGTATTCGCAATATTTAAATGGACAGGAATTATTACCTAGAACCTATATTAGGTAGTATTTAAGTCTATAAAGAAGAAAAAAAACCTTATGGAAGACTCCATTGCAAACGAAAATAACAATAAATTTAAAATTAAATTACATTCGTATTGTATAAGAGTTCGTGAATACTCGAAAATCAAATAAATATACCCAAAAAGACAAATAAGCAAGATATTAAAATAATAAGAGTGAAAAAACTTAAGTTTTTAAATACATATACAATCAATTGTTTTACGTAGTTTGTAAAAATTAAAGTTCTTTTACAGTCTGATACTCGAAATATATGTAAATAAATTCGCGCTTATACAAGTATTTTAAATGTGTAAATGCGTAAGATAATGAACAGTGTATGGATTCTAATCGCTCGGACGATTAGGTAAAAAATTTATAACACCAACAATGCTAATAAAGAATATACCTACTCACGATTTGTAGGAACAATACTTAAGTGTGTAGTACCAACGGGATATCGCATTATAAAAATATAAAAACTTACTCTAAAATCTCTTCATCTTATAAAGATAACATATCTATACTAATAAAATGAAAATGAAAGACTTGTCACAAGCTACTAGACCGATTTCAAAGTTTTTCACGTTTAGTACGCTACAATATTCCAAAGTACAATAACCTAGCTATTTATTTTCAAAATATCTCAAGCTCGGAAAGGCGCAACTACATAGTATTATTATAAAACTTACTCTAAAATGATCTTTGATCATATCTTCTAAGGACAATATAATTGTTATGAAAAAAGCTAGCTCCATTTAAAAATGCAACAATTCAAGACAGTGCCGTTGTTTATAATTAGTTGTATAATCACATTCAAAAATTTCAGCTAAAATACATGCTTAAATATCACAATAATTTTATAGTTGTTTTAAATTGAACATAAAAATTGCTTTACAGCCAACCTGGCATGTCGTTTAATTTTGTAAATTACAAATTTCTGATCAGGAAACGCGATTTTAAATTGTAAAATGTATAATGTTAGATAAATGCGTAACTATAACTTAGACATTAAATTAACTTGATGATTACTCCTTCTCAAGAGCGGGCGGAGCGCTAGCAGTGGCAAATGGATTCGCTGGGGTCACTGCCTAAAATTTACATCAATAAAAACGATTTTCGTAGATAGAATATACTTAATACAATTTTTATTTTATTTTAGTCATATTAGATATACTACATATATTTTCTTTTCTTCATAATACCTTGGTATCAGACATACCTATATGGAAAACTTAGCAGAAAAACATGCATGCATGTATAAAATTATATATGTATAAAAATCAAAACTATATAGTAAGTAAACTATAGGTAGTTTGACTAGATTACAAGGAAAATTTCAAGTACTTACTGGCATACTTGGAGGGTTCCCTTCTGAAGCCACTGATGTCGGAACGGTGAAACCAAATGTTCCTGTTTTTAATCCAGTTCCCTTGTAGGGGGTCTGGGTATCTTGATAAGGTGTGTTTTGAGGATATGGTGGATTTGCTGAAGGCATATTTTGAGGTGTTGGATAAGGTGAATTGGGATATGGTGGATTGGCTGGTGGAGATTGTGCTGCATCTCCTGATGTATAAGCAGGACTTTTAGGATATGGTGGGTTTTGGGTAATTTGGGGATATGGTGGGTTTTGGGAAATTTGAGGATATGGTGGGTTTTGGGAAATTTGAGGATATGGTGGGTTTTGGGAAATTTGAGAGTACGGCGGTGGGTATGGCGTGTTTGCAGCAATTTGGTCTGGCGGATATGGAGTTTGGGCTTTTTGGGTCGAAGGATATTGGGTTGTAACAGGATAGGAAGCTCCCGAAGGATAAGGAGTCACTTCGGGGTAAGGATATGGTGCGGGGTAAGAAACGTTCCCCTGATGTGACGGCTGGTTGACAATGGGCGCACTAATTTGCGGCATTTGATCATGTAGAGGGTTCTGGACATCGTCTTGATAGCCCACTAAAGGTATGTTCCCGATAACTAAACGCTTATAGCCTTTGGAGTCGCTGTGGCAACCACTAGGTGATACTACAACCTGTAATTAAAAAGTATTTTACAAAAACCTATCATAGCCCGGTAGCAACTTTAAAATATCAGCAGATTTTTTTGCGTTATGAAATATGTTTTTATTTACATCTATACATATCCAGAGAGCTGGAGAAATCTTAAATACCTTGAATGTATAATCCACGTCAATATATCTGCAGGCAGCAAGATTGTAAATGTCAATGGAAGGCACCACCATTTCTACAGTCCAATTACGAGTGGTGTCACCAGGAATTGGTCCTTTCTTGATCTCTGCTATCAAATCCTTTGTCTCTCGCGTAGCGGGGTTCGTAGTTGCGTGGTATGTTACTTTCTAAAATATGTAGTTCAATGAATCTTACATAGATTGTACACACATCAAAATATAGCCTTCGTGACTTGAGGTTGGAATTCCGGCGAAAAATTAATAATGTGGGTGGGTCTCAAAAATGATCAATGAATAGACGCAGAATCCTGACGGCTCCGTAACTATACACATGTTGTTACAATAAAAAAGCCAAGACAAAAGGGTTTTGAGACGAACCAAGTCAAGAATTTTTCATATTATAATACTACTGGACCGCTTTGAAAAAATAATATTTTACCATTAGAATCCGACATCCCTGATAAACATAGTCCGTAGATAATCTGTATAAAAACTTCGATTTATTATTATATTACACCTACTTATTTTTTTTTTGTTGTATATTGCAACCCAAGGTGAAAAAAACCCAAATGCTATATCGCATGCGCTACGGAAACTATTAACAATTTAGGTAAGTGATGTACAGTTTCATAGAAGACATCTATACAAATAATACCTATTACATATTTAGCCGTGCAAAGCTGGGACTGCACGCTATTTTATAAAGTTAAGAGTTTATAATTTCCGCAATTAAACCAATCGACGTTAATTTATCACACGATAGTGGTGTCATGCCTCAAGGGCGAATTTAGTGTTAGGTAAGGCTGGGGCGGGTCAGTCAAGGTCAAAATTTGTATTAATAAGACAGTATCTTCTAGGACAAAACTCACACATATGTAATGTATTTTGATTCTTTTATACAGAATCTGTAAATAAAACTACTAATTAAGTGAATAGAAAAATAAGACCCGGTCGGCGAGAGGCCACGCCCAAACATACCTTCTTAATCATCAGCTTAATGTCATCTATGGTAACACGGCCACTATTCTCACAAGCTACCTCGATGGGTATCAGCTGCCCAGGACAGTACCCCGCCACCGGTAGTTTCACTACGGTGTCTGTGGCACCCCGGCTTAAACAGCAGCAGCAGTACACATCTTCGAATTCAAACTCTATGGGTTCCTGAAAACCATTGGTTTGAATCTCAGGATCATACACGTGCCCATACTTACGCTTTTGCTGGATAATTTGAATATACTTATATACATCATTAATATTTTTCTTCACGGAGAAATGTTAATTGTATAGATACAAGTTGGTGGAGTTCAAACACACGAGGTGAAGGTTGACAATTGCTCCTCCATGAACTGGGCTAGCTTAGCTAGTAGTGTTTTGTTTATGTTCCAGTGGAATTGTATTACAGTGAATACGACCAACGACATTTCAAATGCTTACCCGACAGTAAGGGTCCTGGTTTAAATCCAAAGGCGCAATAATTCGAACAGCAACTTTTTTCTCCTGGTCAATCTTAAATGCCCTGTCGACAACCACTTTGATCTCATATCGTACGTGTCCCACGGTCCCTTCGAATGATGATGGGCAATTACCCGGCAATTGGAACTCGAAAGGGAATTCATACTTACCTGGTTGTAATTCCACTTCACCTGAAATTTTTTTTAATTAATATAACTCACGAAACGTTGGGTATTTACGATAATCTCTTTAATACACTTCTGCGATGAAAAAATCTAATTAAAAAAGGGGACGCCCACCAAGAATCTGGTATAAAAGGGATTGCGAGGAAGGATTGGAAAATTGTGGCGAGGATGAGAGACAAGTGGAAGAATTTGGAGGACCTCTTCCAAATCCTTCCACTTCCAATTGTTCACTCCGTCGTAGGTCGTGACTCGTGGACTTAATGTAATCAAAGGTAAAATTAGTTGAATAAAGGCTTCTGTGATAAACTGCTAAATTTGGACTGTTTTAAAATAAATTTTTACCTTTTAATCCATATACTATTATCGTGTTTTAATATGGTATGTCTACGTGTTGGAAATAACAATTATTGTAGAATATTAAAAAGTTAATTATAATTCCTACAATGTATTATTATCAACGAGTGGAATGCTATTTTTAGCATGATGTTGATAAGTTACATCACATGTACTTAAAATTTTTTAAATTTAATTGTTTAATTCAGAAAACAAGGTTCCATAACAATGTTAGTAAATTACAGCTTAATACCTTAAATCTAAGTGTTAGTATGTTTACATTAAATAAAGGTGTATAAATAAAAAGCAATTAATATTAGTTAAGTTTCTTGATTTCAAATCGACTAGGAAATTCTATTGCAGTTGGTATAATAATTCTTAGACATCCTAAAATTAAGATAATAGGATGTCTAAAAAAAGAACCTTATATTATCAAGGCTATTGTTTTAAGTCCTATGCCCAATCTTTGTTAACCTTGATATTGTAGAAGGTCAACTACACGGATTACGAGGCGCCGCAGACACGTCGGGCTAGGCTTAGGGCGTCGATAAAGCGCGATTTTGCTTATCCGAATTTGTAATTAAGGATTTGTCATGTATGTATTCGTAATAACAAGGGATCACAACAACTTTTTACGTAAGTTCTTACCTTTTTGTGTGAGTTTGTATTTAAATAAGACACAGTTTGTCAAAACATTGATGGCACAGTACAATTTTCAGAGCTCTACTAAAATTTACCACTTTGAATAGTATAAGATACAAATAAGAAATAAAAAAATATACAGATGCTAATAATTGGCGTGTGACCTGCCTATAAATAAAATGACGTCAGCTTAGACGGCGCCAGACAGCCCAAATACTAAAGTATGCAATATAAAAATAAATTAAGAGTTTCGTTATCTAGATAACGACAAAACATCGTACAACTGGTATGAAACATTATTATGTATTCTATATGCAAGTAATAAATAAATGTACGGATAACTTTTGATGACATATACAGTAAAAAATTACACCCATAATATAAAATATTTACAGTGTAAACTCTATATAACGACACTCAAGGGACAGTGCATATTTTGAGGTTACAAAAAGTTGCAGTTAAATGGAAAGAAAAATCTGTAGAAAAAGAAAAAGTTTATTTCAGACTAGTGTTAGCAATTACATGAAAAAACAATTCTTATTTGAACGCTATTGCGCATTGTCTGCATCTTCGTGATAAAGCACATGCAAGCAAGCGCAATTTGTAACAAAAAAAGAACAGATTTCTTGGAAAGTTTGGTACGTATGAAGGGTACCAACAGTCAAATTTATTTCTCGCTAGGACAATAAAGCGACAAAACAACGTACACAGCTCCACAGTTTTAACTGATTCCGGCAACTTAAAAAGTACTTTTTAGTATTTAATGTTGTTGTTATTGAGGGTGGGTGCAATGCTATGTAGAGTGTATCATTGTCATCAGTTACATGGAGTTTACATTGTATCTGTCAACTGGATGAGGCAGGTTTCGGCCGCTATGATTGTGAAACACAATTGAAATTTGAGATACTAAATAATGTAATTCATTTTTATTAGTCAAAGCAGTTTTATTTAAATGTGCAGTAATTTTTATGGAAGAAAGACGTCATACCATATGGTTTATATTATTGCAATGCTGATACATATATAGAATATTTGCTGTTAGTCTGAGATACAACATGGCACTATTATTAAGTTGCAACATGTGGTCTTAATGATTCCAAAGATATTAAATATCTACTAGTACAGTACTACTACTGGCAAATATAAATTTTATATTTGCAAGTAGTAGTACCGAGTATAAAAACTGATGTGAAATATATTTTTTTTGTTGGAAAATAAATAATATAATAAAATAAAAAACCTATGTCATTTGTTATACCTTAAAGAAAAGCATAGAAAAATACTGTGATACAATGTATCACAATTTTATGATCAAAGAATTCTCTGATCATAAATTTATATTTAATCTCATATTTTAATTAATTTAATTATTCCTTTTCTTTCTTTAAAGTTAAACATATACACATAACATAAACTTCCCAATAGCACCAACTGATTTGGATAATTTAATATTTTTTACTGATTTGTTATATAATTACAATTAAAAAAGCTTAAACATAACATTAAGTCTGTAACTGTATAGTTTCAAAAGCACAATGACATACTAATTTGTAAACATTGATCTGTTTTCTTAACTAGTCACGAATTGGTAGTTCTCGAAAGTGGTGCCTTTTAATGATCACTTCCTATAAAACAATTTAACATCGAAATATATTAGTGATATAAGAAAATCAAGCCAAACATGTTAATAAAGCATGCAAGCCCTATAATTCATTTAATTATCAAGAAAATTTAGTTTAAAATTAACTATAAAGCAATTTAGTATTATAATTATTGCCTAAGTACATTGATTTATAAACCTCACCCCTCTCTCCTCCTATTAAAAAGGCTTTGTGATTAATATATTCTTCATAGGATTCATGATTGACTGTATAAGATTCACTTTTACCCTGACTATTTCTTCGACTGTGGTGAGTAGTCCAATGAATTTTACAGTATCCTTTCAATTTTGCAGAAATACCTATTAAATACAAAGCTATTATTACATTATTACAATTACTACAAAAATATTTTTGTTTGTAATTTTAAAATGTTCAAAATTTATTTAATCAATATTTCATCTTACCTCGAAACTTCTTAATTTTGTCCTGACTAAAAACTAATTTACCATAAACTGTTTGCCCAGGAAAGTAGGAACCATTGTCACTATTTAATGTTATAAGACCTTCATCAAAACCCATTGCAAACTGCAGTAAGCAGTAAAGTCTACTATTTGGGTGTTACTCCCAAATAGTAAACAACAACAGTAAACGTTCAGATATCTAAATTTATCTAATTCGTAATTCTAATCTGAAATTTACACTAGCCCGCTTGTCTCACAGATTAGTTAGTTACACTATAGCGGGCAGTATTGTAATTTATTTTCACAAGTCTGTTTATTTTCCGATTCCACGAAATAGAAAGATTATTCTGATCTTGACTTGGGCTTTCAGACAAAATCACTTTACGATTACGACAGGCTTGAGTGCTTGACCCACTAGTCACTACTCACTACCGAAAAAGGAATTTGTATGAGAATTGAGAATGACATTTGCTTACGCTTTGTCACCAGGGGGCTTAGACAAGATGCCTTAACAGTAGTGTACTATGTAGAAAGTTTAAAACTAAATTTGGATGAAAATTTATCGACACGAACGCCAGTCGCAAAATGATCTAAGCTCAAGTGTCAACAAAGTACAGCATTTATCTAAGGCGTAGTGATTTATGGTTAAAAAGTAAATAACGACTAAGAACAAGTCGATACTCGAGGATGTGAATCTAAACACACTCTCAGTAGGTCTCGTAAAATCTCAGTGAGCAAGTATGTACGATCGCTATTAGGTGATTAAAGATTGTGTTTATTGTCAATATCAAGTCAAAAGTGAAGGATAGTAGATGTAAAAAAATAGATTGTATGTCATTTGTCAATGAACTCCTCAAAACTCGATTGACTTGTTATGGTTGTGGTCCCATCCCTGGTTTAATGATTAATCTCTGAAGTTTACGACTGGATTTTAAATTATTACTATTAATATAGCTATGTTTGTCAGATTATGACATTTCATTGGTCTCCAAATTTTTACTAAAGGCCCTTGCGTTTTTAGTAACACTAAATTATAGCCACAATTAACAATGTAAAATTAACTCTTACCCATATGGTATTTGATATTTGTAATAGTAACTAGGCAATATGTACATATAATGAGGATGAATATTTCTATTTCAATCTCCATAAACTCATCTTGTATTTAAAAATTATTAGAAGTTATATGTAATCAAAGAACATGCTTTAGTAAGTACTATACTTTAGCATGCATATTTTTGCATTGCATTGGAAAAAACTTTCTGTTTTGGTATGTTCTTATTTTTTAAAATAGATTAAGAGGACAAATAACCCTATAGGTCATCAATAAAAGGCAACTACCATTGCCCATTTTATCATTGGAAACCTACTCTAGGCCTGTTATTTTTTAATCTCCACTAAGACCCAATTCCTCAAAATGTTAATGCAATCCTCTTAAAATCAAAAGGTTTTCTAACAGTGCCTATATACCTACAGAACTCTAAAAGTAAGCAAGAGCTATGTCAAAATCAAATCTTCTAAATCTTACCTTTAGCCTTGTGGTAATTCATTATGATCAAAATAATGTTCTAATAATATTACATCAATGCATAGTACTACAATATTAGACAAGGTTTTATTTCAAATTTTAAATGTATGTTGTATCTTATCTAAAATTATTATTGTAAACAAGTTTTCTAAAGTAATATACTTTGTATTTAATTGTATTATTATTATCTGTATGTGTGATAAGGTAAAATTAAGTGAACCATGATTTTGTGTAAATTTTTGATGAAGTTTTTCTTTCATATAATATTTAATTTAAGCCAAGTTCAATAAATATGTATAAAGTTGAAATTAATATATTTTTTTATTAAATAGTAATTTTATATGTACCAATAAAAATAGTTATTTAAAATTTATTTAGTCTTCTATAAAAAGGCTATGTGTATTTATACTACACACAATACATATTGCCTTCTTTATTAATTATTTCTGTGAGAAGTTAAAACCACCACCAGTGTGACTGAGGGGTATTTGAAAATATATCTTTAGGTGAAATATCAGGGCGATGACCTGAATCAATCCACACTTTTAATACACGATCAAAGTCCTCTATATCTGCAGCTTCTGCCAAATTTTCTAATATTGTATCAAACTGAGGATCCAAACCCTTAAAACCATTAAGCAAAACTTCTAGCCCTGAACGGGTCTTGCAGACATCTCCAGCAGATCCAACCATATCACAATCTATCCTGAAGTTAGGGTAAAGAGTTATGAAACTCTCAATCCATTTTATATTCTTTGTAACAAGATCAATTATCTTGGTACATTCAGGTTCATTTTTTACTTTTGAGAAATCCCAAGAAATCTGTGTTCCCAATTTAAAAAAATATTCAAACACATTTTCTCCAACTTTGAACCAATCATGAATTTTTCTACCCTCTATTATTTTAGGTTTCTCTTCAAACACAAGCAGCTCACTTGATATAGTTTTCAATGGTTCGGTACACGCCATTTTATTTCTGCTGAAATGTAATCTGAAATTAGTATTGTATGTACATCGTGTGTACACTGGTACTCATAAACTGATATACTATAAAGTGTATATTATAAACGACCCGAGTTACATTACGGGTTATGACTCACAGGTCTTACTTACACCTAAACTTTATCATGTATCATTTTGTTTACTTCGTTTAATTCTTTTGTTTATACGGCAAACAGCACTATTAACAGCAAAAAGCATAATAGTATACTTATATATAATTAAAATTCAATACTTACTAGCGTAATCAATTTTAAAAACAACTGCCTAAGAAAGTTAATAACAAATTACAAAATAAATATTGTTAATTGTAGACTTGTCAGTTGTCACTAATGTCACTTGTGTGCACTGCACAGATCAAGGCACGAAATAAAAAACTAATTTGAATTTCAAGCAACTGTGTTAAAAAATATCCTATATACTCTATGGTAGACACTAAAACAGACTACAGGACTTCTACAAAAAATGATAGTACAAAAATACAGCACTCTGAACCGAAGAGAAAATATCTACTAGTAAATAGTACACATAATACAGTAATATATTGGGAACCTGGAAATATGAGTCTGTCTCTTGAAATGAGGAAAACTGAACTTTTTACTCTTTTAAAATTACGCTTTATAAAACCTAATGTAATGTGTTTAATTTACTTTCAGTAATCGATTAGAACATAGATTTATGATAGATAATGTTTGGTTAAGATATTTCAGATTTTACCGAGACGATAGCTCGTATTCTAGAACCTTAATCAAACTTAAATCTTAAATAAGTTACAAGAGCTGTCAAACCATATTTTGTGTATGTAGTTGGACAGTTGGACTTAAGACGATATTGTGACGATAAAAAGACAAAAACAATCCTAAGTCCTAATCACTCAAATACAATTATAGTTTTTATTAGTCTGGTGATTTTTAATATTTTATGACTTCATCTATAGGAACTTTATCTAAGTTTGAAATTCGATTTCAAACTTAGATAAAAAGTCGATTTTTCTATTAACTGTCAGCCGTAACTAAAATTGCACTTATATAAATTATAAACTTCAAATTTGTAACAGTTTGAGCCTGTGGTTCGAGGGTGTCTGTTGTCGGAGTATGATAATAGTTCGTTTAGTCGGAATTTAAATAGAAATATGCTTTTCTCATCTTGAATAATATATTGATTGGGTTAAAAATTTTGAAGTCGTGAAATTAAAAATTACGATATGAACTTATCGTTTGTAGCAGTTTATTGGAATTATACTTTGTTTTGTGACTTAAAAAATCGTAAACAGTTTATATAAAGAAAAAACTTATATTTTAAGTTTTTCTGTATAAAACTTGATTGTATATTTATTGCGATCAATATTAACGAGTGTCTAATATGAGTTCTCAACAAAAAGATATTGAACTAAGCCCTGTTAAGGTTGAATTAGCCCAAAAAAAACAAGTACCAGAATCGGGACATCATGTGGATGATGAAGAAGATATTATAATTGGTCGTTTTCGAAAAATTAGTTCGGCTAAATCTATGGCTGCTACAAATGGCAATATCCAGTATCCAACAGATCTCCCTAAACCAGAAGTTGATCTAGAAGCTGGCTTGCAATTCAAGACGAGTTCAGATACTAAAAATCAATTGGAAAAATCTAATCATGGTACTAGGACACGAAAAATGCCTGTAACCAAGAGCAGTTTTCGGGATATTGAGAAGCCGTCTCGGTTTAAAGATCAACCATCTGCCACAAGGTTTCAGGTATGTACCTACTCTTTTCCTTATGAACTATATTCCATGTGGTTTAGCTAAAATAACCTATGTGTCTTCCCTAATATTCCTCATGGCGTTTTTCATTAATGTGGTTAATGTAACTTTCTGTTGAAATTGTATGCCTAATTATTGAATACATTACAACACTGATAAACTTTTGACACAGACCAAACAGAAGCTTGAAAATATAACTAAAAATTAATGTTAATTTTTGATTTTAAAATTATTTTGTCCTGAAATTTTTAATATAAGAGAGTACTTTCGTAAAAGCTAAATATACCAAACATTGTCAGGAATAATATAATTTGTTTTCATTTCTGATGTATGGGCACATTAAACATAATTTTCTATGTTGTAATGTGGTAACAAATGAGAGGAAACTATGACTTCATTCTGATAACATTCAAGCCATACACCCGCTAGATAAGATAGTATCATAGAGTTAATTTGAACAAAAGCACAATTTCATTGTCTATTTCTATTATAAATTTAACAAACAAATGCATTTATATGAATTTAACTTAACCGTGACTTCTATTCTGTAGAATCACAATAAAAAGTACATAATTAGTATTATTATTATGTTATTCTTAACAGATCTGATTTAATTTACATGGATAAACTGAATAACATTATAAGTTTACTTATTTGTTTAATAGATATAGCTCAAACATAGCCATAGAAATATTAAACTTAGCAAATTGAGTGTCATACATATCTTTAGGCGCAAATGGAATAGTAGGAAAAATATTAAATTCATACAACAATTAAATGTTTCTATAGACATCAACATTCTTCAAAATTAGGACAAAGACTAGAAGATATTATATGAAGAAGAAATAAATAAATGGGGATGTGAGTGCCATTTTAATTGAGTCTCAAGACTCATACACCTGTTGTACATCTTGCAGGTTTTATTATAGATTTTTATATATTTTAAGTCCTTAACTCATAATATCTTAGATAATACCTAGATCCACTTGTTATAAACGTATAACGTAAATATCAACTTACTTTCGTTTGTAATATTTATTTTAATATTCACTTAGGCTCAGTGTACCTCAACTAAAAAACGGAAGCACGAATATTTTGAATAGTATTAAGTAGTGTTATAAACGCTTTTTGTGCAGCACAATTAACGTCATTACATCGGCATATTCCTATTTTAGGCGTCAGCCTCTTAGAAAGTTAGTCAATACCTGTACTATACCAACTTGGGAAGAAGCATAAATTGATTATTATTATTAATCATAATCCTATGTTAGAATGCTAGCCGATAAATCCTAATAACTAAAGGCCAATTGAATAAGTGGATGGTTCCCATAGCCTCGCGAGCGTCTTGTCCAGGTGAAGGGGCTACTCTAATTCGAGATTCAGTATTGCTTTATATTGAGCAAGATTTTTACTTAGTGATCTTTGACGATATGAAATAAAATGTTTTGTATTTTGGTACAAAGCTTATTGTAATCGATACACAATTCTTTTTCATACTGTTTTGAATTTTAGTAGAAATAGACTCTAGAATAGTTTTTCACGCAGAGATAAACGATACTATGATTTACAATTCTATAATTATTACAGAATATATTTTTTAAAGCGCTAATTGCGCATCATATATAAAAAGAGAAGAAAGTATAATAATGAAATAATAAATACATGTGTCATATTTTATAATTTAAGTAAATTTACTGAAAGGTAAACTTATAAGCAAAGAAGTAAAAACCTCTTGCTGAATAAAGACTTCTGTATAAACTTTTTTAAAGTATTGTATTGTACGGTTACGGTTACGGTGTTACTACCGAAAAGACAAAAATATGTCCGATGAAGAATTAGTTGCGAGATTAATACCCGGTGTATTAGAGCTTATGAATATCGTTAATATGTACATACTTATAAAATATGTGCGAATGCGCTGTGATACCGTAACTGCGTGATCACTAATACTGGTAATAGGTACTTGTTAATATGCATTTATTTGTATTTTATTTAAATTAGACAGTTTGAACATATTAACTTAAATATGGAAATACATTAGTATTGAATAAATATTTTATTTATTTAATATTATATTTACAAGAACTCGTATTGAATACGTAATTAAACATTTATAACAATTTAATCATGTTCGTCGTTTGTTATGAAACCAGCAAAGTAGTGGAACTCTTCGTCTCCTTTCATCCCTAGATAGTATAATATGGGTTTATTTAAGCGGGTGTTAAACAGGCATCTCCTGGACAGGTATGATTGTGGCCAAAGGTCTGTCCAGTTATGTATAAAAAAAAGATATTCATATTCAAGCCAGAATTTCGAAGTGTTTCTGTTTTAAAGCCACAATTATTTTACCACTTGCTAAGGCTCATATAACATATTACAATTGTTATAGAAATTTCACTGAAAAAAATAACCATTCACTATTCAGTCTTCTCCTCATTACCCAAAAGGCGGTAAAACAAATTACGAATTAGTATTGTCTTTGATTAACATAACCTTTACACATTTAAAGAAAAACGCTTTTTACCGGATTAAAGTTATGTTTATTATTATATATTTCCCCGGAGTTGGTATCGACTAAATAATATTGGGTTTTTGCCAAAACCCTCCATCTTTTAGTCGATACCAACTCCGGGGAAATAAATACAGATAATGCAACTTTCTCTGCAGCTGTCATACTTTTTGACATTCAACATCTTTTGTCTTCAGTCACCGTGACCACGCACGCTGTAAAGCACGCGAAACGTCGGATAAATTTAAAATTATGTCAAATAGTTGTAAATTTATAATAATAAACATAACTTTAATCCGGTAAAAAGCGTTTTTCTTTAAATTACGAATTAATTTATAATCTGTGCTCCGGGATTCATAACTGATAGAGCAGGCGCCACTGCCTCATGAAGCATCACTAGTGTTTATAAATTGGTTGTTGCGATATTATAGGAGACATTCATCAAGATATCATTTAATATTATTATCCTTGTCCGAGTCCATTCATATGAACCAGTTAAGTCCAATATGAAAATACCCACTTTAAAGCAGTGGGCGCATCTAATTTTAGAGCGTCTAAAAATAGCATACGACGACATACTGTTAACTTTTCACATCCACGGTCATATATCTCTTTAAACCTAGGAAAAACAAAAGCCAAGATGTGATTTATATAAGGGACCCTTGGGTTAGGTACTACCACTTTTCCACAGATTTTTATGTGTACAATGCGATAGAGTATACCCTAGTTGTTGCCAATATTATTTTTTGACTAAGTAATAGCTACATTTCATATGAAGGTTTTTGTATCAAATCCTCCATCCGATTATTCTTTTATAACGTCGCTAATTGGTTGTCATTAAAATTGACTAGTCTGTGACATACTTATCAAAAGTATCAATACTATTGTTGTTTTTTTCTTCTATAGAACAGGGGTCAAACGGGCTGGAGGCTTACCTGTTAAGTGATACCGCCGCCTATAGACACTCATATTGACAGAGGGCTAGCGAGTGCGTTGCCGGCCTTTTAAGTACGGTACGCTCTTTTCTTGAAGGACCCAAGTCGAATTGATTCTGTAATAATTAAGTGGGCAGCTGGTTCCACATAATGGTGGTGCGCGGCAAAAACTGCCTTAGAAACACTCAGTTGTGGAACGACGGAAGTCGAGGTGATACGTGTGGAATTTCGTATTCTGCCTCGACGTCCGATGATGAAACTCGTAAGGGTGTGGTATGTGGGGTATTAAAAAATAATTAATAAATAGCCCATCCAAATTGTAGCATTACCGGAAATTATGATTTCCGGAAAGTCAGGGTCATTGCTACTAATCATTACGAATCGAAAGGGGAAGACGTCGTTAATGATAATTCGCATTCATTGGCGGACCGTTTGTCGGTAATCTTAACTTTTGTGTCTCTATTTAATCCATGTAATTTATTGATTTAGCCTGAATATCCAAAAATAGAATATGATACACGCAAGGTGTTTTAATTTCATTAGAATAATGTTATCAAACTAAGTGTTTGAGCCTAAAGCCTATATTTGACATACTTAGCCATACATACTCGTAGATTAACAAACGTTTATAATGGTACGTTGAGTGAACTGACTAAAGGTCTGCTTAATGTCAAACTTAAACCTCAAAATAACTTTATTCATATAGGTAAACAAGTACACTTATGAATGTCAGAAAAGAAGTTAAATTAATTGTAAATTTACATTTACTACCAGTTCGCTAGTCAACGGCGTAGAGCGGGTTAGAAGAACTGGCAAGAAACTTTCTGCCACTCTTTTCAATCGCTAAGTTTTGAGTCATACAAATTATTTGAACTGGATCAAATCAACACATCATTTAAATATTCGTAATTTTTTTTTATATATATGTCGGTTCCTATATTATTAGAAATAGTTAGTCTTTTAGTAAAAATTTAAATCTATTACTGTTTAATGTATGTATTGTTTTGTATGTGATATAAATGTTGTTTTCCGCATTGGAGTAATCTGTAATGGTAGCTTAATTGTTAAAAATATAAATTAACATAAAATAAATGTGTCGAGTCTGAATCATACCCTAAGTCTAATCCACAAACATACACAAAAAAATACACGATCAATTAATCATCCCCTCCTTTTTAGTCGGTTAAAAATAAGTGTTTATTGTCACACATATTGTGCGTATTCAAGGGCGAAAATATAACCCTTCTTTAGGCGTAGGGGGTAAGTTTTTAAGAAAACGTCACGACTATGTGCAGCGTTTTTGTCGAAGAAAATGGAAAGAGCGATTGAGAGAGAGTGAGAAGGGCGAATTACCTTATAGAAATTCTATTTAAAAAAAATTAAATTTCATAAAGAGAATTTATGAAATATTAGTATTTTATATTTTATGCAAAATTATTTATTGAAATATCAAATGTCAAATTGTAAATTAAAATGCCACGTGTTTTTATTACCGAAGAAATAAATTAAAAAATTATTTGTATTAATTTTCGACACTAAATATTTTAATAACAATTAAATTAATTAAGTCTACTATGTCTTGGAAAGTTAAAGTTTTAGATTTGTATAAATATGAACATGACTTAAAAATTAGTTTGCCAAAGAAGTTTCACTTCTGACATGTGTACTTTGTACGCGCGCATTTTTTATTTTAGATAAAAAGAAATACATATGTATATAATTCTCTCACGGTAAGACTCTTGTATTCAGAATATATCTAGCTGATTTGGCAAAGGGGTGAAATAATTAATACATACTTACGAATTCGAACAATAAACCCTTATTAGCTATTCATGGTTGTCCCAATCCCTTTCATATCTCTTTACGAATAAAAGTCTTATTAAAATATTTAAAGCAAAACAATGCAAGTTAATAAATAACACACTATTAACTTAAATGAGTAATGTGTGTAAGAAATCTCATGTTTCTGTGAAATTTATAGCATACTAAAGAACCTATACAATACCTATACTGCTATAGTTAAATGTCAATCTTAGTTCAATTGGGCTACCACGCAAACTTCCGATGTAATTCCAATTTTGGAACATTAGCGCTATTAGCATATAGCACATACTTAGATATAAAAAATTGGAAATATTATTTAGGTGACCAAATTTTTTTGAGATTGCCAATACCGCTCAACTAGTTTGTAATTATTGAGTCAATTATATTGGAATTTACAGAGTAACAGGGCTGAACGATAAACTATTGGGTTTTATATTACTGCGACGTCCAGTCTACTACGAGTAGTAGAGTGGTACTACATTTTACGCAACAAAGCTGAAACTAAGAACAATGTAATAATTACTCAAGTTTTCAATAAATATATAAAACCTATCACAAATTGTTCACACGCAATAGTTTCCGAATACATTTTTAAAATCAATTGACAACGTATTGACAATCGCTCCACTACTGAGTGTTTTAAAGGCAGTTTCTGCCTTGCACCACCACTCGTATATGGCACCAGCTGCCCACTTAAGTATTACCGAACCAATTCGACTTAGGGTCCTTCAAGAAAAGAGCGTAGCAATACTTGAAAAGCCGGTAACGAACTCGCGACCCTCTGGAATTGAGTGTCCATGGGCGGCGGTATCACTTAACATCGGGTGATCCTCCTGCCGGTTTGCCCCCTGTGCCCTTGAGTTAAACAGTTTCCAAAATGTAGAGCAATCTACTTTTTCAAAAATAGTTTGTATTGCAATTTATTTGTAAGTAAATCCTTACTTTACGTGTGTTTTCTTTGTGATTTGTAGTAAATAAAATTTTAGTTAAACTATATTTTGTCTAAATGTTTCTTTTCATAATAACTGTTAACTATGTGTATGTTTTATGTTTGTGTTTTGCATATTTCGATTTTGGTTATTCTAATAAACTACAAACAATACAAAATCAACGAAATAAATAAAAGTTACTTAAACTTTGAAAGTCAATAAATATGTTCTAAATATGTAAATTTAACAAGAACATTGTTTCCCCTTAATAGAGATTGTAAGTAGTGTTATTGGACACTTTCTTATGTTAAATACAATTTTTAGTAAGCTAGGTTAGTTTTAAATTACTTATTAGTCTTAAGTTAGGCTAGATGGTAATGTTATTTTCAAAAATCTCAAATGTGACACGTAGTAGAAGCCTGCGGTGTAGAGTAACTAATTAATAAAACGTGTTCCGGTACGCGTAGGTGCGATCGGTGACCTATCAATCATTTATCAACCATTCATTAGGTCACGCATTCGTGATGTGACTTAATTAGAACTATTAAAAAATGTGCGTATAAAAACCTACTGTAGATGTTGGTGATAAAGGTGGAATTGTAGTGTAAGTTTGACTACTAAAAGGTGGGATACTGCGCACTTGTGTTAGAATTTAAGTGAAATCTTAACTTTATATTACTAATAATTTATTTTGACTTGACAAACCTATGGTTAAAAACGTAAATCAAACGTATTGGTGTAATCTCCACGGAAACATTTGGGACAATATTTAAGATTATTCTTCAAGTTACAAAAAATTAATGTTTCGTTGGAATAAATTGTGGTTTAAGTGCGCTATATAAATATGTATACCAATTCGAATTAGGGTCACGAAAAGAGCTAACCGATTCTTTAAAGGCCGGCTACGCACTTGCGAGCCTTCTGCAATATAGTAAAATAAAGTATGATATGATATGTACGATACAAATAATGTAAGGATTGACATTGACTAAATATAATATAAAAGGTAAAATTCCTGAAGCCAAATTTGCGCGCCATTGCCATGCGTATGTGGCAAAATATGCGAACTTATGATTGTACCACCTTACACATTTTTGTACCATATTCTTGCAATAAATAAATAATTATTATTCTGGCAATGTTGTCCATGGGTATTACTTAACATTAGATGAGCCTCCTGCCGGTTTGTCCCCTGTTACATAAAAAAAATATCAATCAAATCTCTGTAGAGAAATGCATATTTTTGTTCGTAGTCTGGAACACCTCAAATTTTTCTCTGGAAGAACTCTATTGGGCAAATAGCCATATAAGAGTGATTTGAGTTTGTTATATAGAGCATGGGTCGGACGCGATCATTGGTCAATTACTGTTCATCCGACCACCTTCGTCCAACCTTCACGCATTTTTAAATTACTTGTTTATTTAATTTGTCACGGGTATAAATGTAATGTATTCAAAAGCATAATTATCGCATAAATTTAAACTCATGTACGTGACCAGAGTGAAATTCGTCTTTTAAATTATAGTCAACGCGTGAACGAATGTTTTTTAAGGTCAACGATTTTCATTCACAATCGTTCGTTCGGGTTTAAGATTGTTCTTTTGTTTCTAGATGGAGGCGGAGCAAGAAGAAGGTTCAGAGTCTGAAGGTTCTGGTATGGACAGCGATGATCCTCTCACCACGCAGACTGATACTAAGTATGGCAGAAGTTTTAGGTAAGTTGAAAACTTATTAAGGATAATCAAAGCCGACTGACTCAAACTGAGCGATTCTTAAGGCAATTTATTCCGCGCACCACCACTATGTGGAACCAGCTGCCCACTGAAGTATTTACGAACAAATTCGACTTAGGGTCCTTCAAGAAAAGAGCGTACCAATTCTTAAAAGGCCGGCAACGCGCTTGCGAGCCTTCTGGCAGTGCGAGTGCCCAAGGGCGGCGGTATCACTTAACATCAGGTGAGCCTCCTGCCCATCTGCCAACATAAAAAAAGCCTACGAACCGGCGACAAATCAATTTGTGAAAATTATACCACTATTACAAATTCTACAAGTCACGTGTGACGAAATATTTCAATGTAATTTGGGTTGAAATGTGTTGTAACTGGGTTTTTGTAACAAAGTTAAAGGGCTTTATAAGTTTCGTAACGCTATCATGTTGGCCTTACTAGCAGATATATTATCCAATTAATTTCAATAAGTACAGGAATCCCACCTATAACGTGTAGATTTCTCAAGTTATATTTCTGTAGTAAGACATTTATAATGATTTGTGAAGTCCATAATTAGTTTTGCGTACATGTTACAATTGGATTGTTATAAAAGTGTCCTAGTTTTTTAATTAAAAAAAACGGTTTTACGAGAAACGGAATACTCCAATAACGCGGCCCAGGTCTACCGCGTTATAGGAGGGGTTACTGTATACATGTGGTTTTCTGTTCATATGTCATAAATATCACTCAATCATATTTTGATTTAAAATTAATGACTGGAAACAAATCGTCGAATATTGTACAACTATTTAACGTAATTGTTAATACCTATAGAAATTAAAATAAACGACGTTCATTTCTATTGGCAAAATGTAAATAAATAAAAAAATATCACTAACACAAAAATGTTATTTCAAACCTGAAAATCCAAATGTATATGAAAAATGCGAAATGCATATTTTCCCGAACCCGGAGAAGGACCCTGGAAGTGCATCATACATTTTAAATAAGAAAAAATACTAAATATTGATTTTCAGACATTTCACCCGCGAAGCGCTGCCAAGATTGGATAACTACAGGAATGTAATGTCGCTTCACGCCGCGCCTCGACCGACATTGGATGAGCTTCATAATGCATCGTTGTCACGGAAGGTCAGGGTCCTTTTTGGTTGGTTTTTAAAAGACATTACACATTAAACAATTGTTCAGAGTCCACTCTAATAGCAAATTAACAGTTTCAAATATTTATCTAGAGAACGGTGTAACTTATATGTATATATAGGTATATATATATATATATATATATACATATATGTATATAAAGGTGGCCTAGTAGCTTCAGGGTGCGACTCTCATCCCTTACATCGCAGGATCCCCGGATCCCCGGCTGAGCATCAATGGACTTTCTCTCTATGTGCGTATTTAGCATTCGCTCGAACGGTGAAGGAAAACATCGTGAGGAAACCGGCTTGGGACGGCGTGTCGGCCGGCGTGTGTCAGACACAGAAAGCTGATCATCTACTTCCCTCTTAGATTCACAAATCATGAAACAGATACAGAAATCTAATGCCCAGACCTGTAAATGTTGTGGCGCCACTTTTATTAAACATCTAAGAAAAGTTTTGACATAGCGTTTACTTCATTTTTAATTGGATTTTTAATTAATAAAAACCCGATAAATAATTACATACAAATAACTAATTATTTTTACAAGACTGATAATAATAAGGTAAAACTCTATGTGCATATAAATTATCTGTTTAAAATAAATACTAATATTGTTTTTGATGTATGAGACATGAGAAAATAATTTCATGTAACTGTCATGTGTATGTATGTTGTGTACAACATGACAATCTGTTTAATGTTTACAACTAATTCAACACCTGAATCAATAGACAAGTTGCATATAAGACTACACGACCCTACTTAATAAACACAAGCTAACAATGGACCAAGTTTAAAAATCTAGCTATCCTTTTCCTTATCTAAGCAATAAAAGCAATAAAATGGATATAGTTTGTTGAGTAAATTTTACAGTGAGTTAATTAATAAACCTATATATAGCCTGTAGGGCTGCTAACTCGAGTTTATAAAAAAAGATGTGAAACTTGCGTGGAATACGGCAGTAGTCGATATTATTTTGGTTATGTAATTTATTTTAATTAAAATGCATGTTGTTTAACACAAGGCTGATGACCCTTGAGACAATTTGCAGAAAAGAAAATTGTTGTATTATGTAGACGAAGTTACAAATCAAGTTGAATCTTGAAGACGGTTCGGTCGTGTTTAAGATGAACGTCATATAATTAATCCAATAATTGCCAATGATTCGATTATATGCAATGTCGCGTATGTGAGGCTTCGGGTAACTGGGTTATCGCAAGTCAAGGTCTTCTTAGCCGATCAATGTCAAAACATGTGCATATTAACACACAGTTAAGATACGGTAGTTAATTTATGGCGGCTCTAAGAAATATTATAAATTTATTAAGCAAGCATTTTTGAACCAATCTTGATGATTGAGGTTATATATATAAGAGTAATTCAATTAAAAATAACATTATATGCATTTAATGCTAAATATTAATCGATTCGTTTGTTAAATAAAAGAATTTGGTGACCTTGAACACATTTAGATTTTGTCGGTAAAACGGTTTGACGATACCGATAAAATGTGTTCTAGATAGTAATAATAATTGTTAGATAAATTCGTGAAAGCTGTCGAAGCAGTCGTGGCCGAGCGGTTAAGGCGTCTGACTAGAAATCAGATTCCCTCTGGGAGCGTAGGTTCGAATCCTACCGACTGCGAAACTTTTTTATTTTCTCATTATACCGTTTTTTATTAGATTTTATACAAAACTGTATATCTTTATATCTGACAACAAAATTTAGTGAATTTAATTAAGTCCGTATTTGAATCCCATAGAGAAAAATATTTTGCTCATATGTGTATAAATGACAAAACAGTTTTCCTTGTTTTATTAAAATGTTTCTTTACTGATACGTCGGACTAGTAATTACTGATAATTACAATTCTGATTAATTACGGCGCAGTTAATGTAGCAAGACAATGCCGATTCGATATGCGCTAACTCGTGGACGTTTAAATACCTACTTTAGATTTACGATAAAATATATATAGATAAAACGAGAGTATATGTGATCAAGAGAAAGCTCGCTGGACAGAAATTTTGTCCTGATGAAGAGGTAATCGTCGAAATCGAAGCCTATTTTGACTTAAGACAAATCGTTTTATAAAAATGATATCGAAAAATTGTATGGCTATAATCGGTGTATCGCTCTCGAAAGCAATTATATTGAATAATCAATTCTAATTCTATAAGAAAAAAATGTACGAAAGTTTCAGCCCACCTGTAACATTAGCATCACTACAACGGTTGGCTAGATCTAATCCTTCTGGTCAATTAGTTGGTAACTAAACCAATCGTATATTTTAAATCAACTTCAAGGGAAGGGAAGCGTTTCTGAACGAATGCATGTGTTCTTTATAACTAATAAACGAGGGCCCAAAGACTATTTGTTAAAATTCTTGTTAATTTTAAATATTAATCTAAAAATAATGCTATTACGAAATTTGAAACAAACTTGGTGTTTGCGCAGTAGACGCTTTAAATATTTTCGCGGTTTTTTATATAATTGTGTACCATTTTTGGGTTTCCATGCCGAAATGTTCAATATTTCCATAATATTTTATTACCCACTAAAATGTTTGTCAAAAACGTTTAAAAAAAATTGATTTGATAGTTTCTAAGATATGAGCATCCACGCATTTCTGGACGAACAACAACAGGTATAATGTTGATCACATTTGCGTTACGTTACAAAATTTTATATATATTTCATATGAGACGAGTTCCTGACGGAAATTCCCCCCTGGACTTCGACGTCGTCTTCAGCTCGCATTTTCGTTTTTGCCGCGCACCACCATTGTGGAACCAGCTTCCCATTGAAGTATTTCCGAACCAATTCGACTTAGTGTCTTTCAAAAAGCGTACCAATTCTTAAAAGGTCGGCCAAACCTTTCTACTTCTTCAGTCACACTCTTCATTTCTGAAGATCGTCGGACACCGCACAATTTCCTCCACTCTCTTCAGTCTTAGGCAAACCTGTTTCCAAATAGGGCTTAATTAAGTCATTAATTGCACCATGTCTTTTTATTCAAATTGTGATGGGCATAGGTCGACCTACGTAGGTGTGACCCTAAACTATTGCGTGACCCTCGTGTCGCAATTAACCCAGTTAATGACGTGACCGCTGCCATGACTTTTATAATTAACTTAAATATTGATATATGGGGTCATTTAAATTTATTTTCCAATTGTTTATTTCTAGGATATGTCAAAATGTATCGAATATATTCTGTACATGTCTGAAATTAATCTTTTCCTAAACTGGCTAATTACATTAACTAGGTCGGGTGCCTCCTAGATTTAATTAATTGACATACTTTTCCCCCTTCCGATATGTTACATATATATAGTAGGGTAGTAGTACCTAATCTTAAATTTCTTATGTTTGTTAGATACGTGTAGTTCAATTGGGCGATGTTGACGCCCAGTGACATTTCTGAGTTAAAAACTAATCAGAATCTTATCTAAATATCTAATTTTAAATCAAATTAGTTTGTAAATAGTAAAAGGTAATTTACTATTTATAAACCTTAAAAAAAACAGTAGCGCTACAACCTTTTTTAGGTGTGAGCCTCAGATTTCTGTATCTGTGTCATGATCATTTGTCAATCTAATTGCCCTGTAGGTGATCAGCCTCCTGTGCCTGACATACGCCGTCGACTTAAGGCAAGCCGGTTTCCTTACGATGTTTTCCGTCACCTTTCGAGCGAATGTTAAATGCGTACACAGAAAGCTCACCGCCGGGGATTGAACCTAAGACCTCAGGGATGAGAGTCGCAGCAACTAGTCCAACTCTGCTCACATAAACCTTAAAACAGCCTTTTATTTATAAATGTTTTCGTTATTTTTTTAAACCAATAGACCGCTAATATATTTTATCCCTAAGCCATATAATTTATGTTAAATAATTAAACGCCTCAGAAACATGTTCATTAGAACGGAATAAGTATTTATTCTTAGAACAATTGTTTATCGTCTTGATTTAAGAGCTAGGAATTCTAGTAATACCGCAAAGTGGCATGTCAGTAAAATAAACAATCAATTATTTAGTGCGACTTGCGGTACTGAATATAATAAAGATTTATCTCAAGATAAAAATGTTTCATTATCTGCCAATAATTTAAGTAGATTAATATAATGTAAAAAATCTTTGAGCAGTGTTCGCCTAGTGCCTTGCGTGCGATTCATCCTTGAGGTCGTAGGTTTGATCCCCGGCTGTGCACCAATGAACTTTCTTTCTATGTTGCATTTAACATTCGCCCTAACGGTGAAGGAAAACGTCGTGAAAAAACCGGCTTGCCTTAGACACAAAAAGTCGACATGTGTAAGGCACAGCAGGCTGATCACCTACTTGCCTATTAGATTGACAAATGATCATGAAACAGATACAGAAAACTGATGCCTAGACCTAAAAAGGTTGTAGCGCCACTGGTAATATAAACTGTAAACTTATTCGACAGCTTTATAATTAAGCTTATTAAGTTTTCTTGTGATAACCAGGTTCAGTGGAGTAGTCAAACATGTATAAAATTATGTAGTATTAATTTAAACTTCCAAGATGAGACGATGTAATATACTTGCGGTCTACTGTACTTTGTAATTATTGTAATTTCCTTGACGTCTATATATTTTCAGCCAGGCCAGACCCTGGAGAAGGATATGAGAAATTTGGCGCCTCCCACTTCGAACATCAAGTTTGGCTGGATCAAGGGGGTCCTGATGAGATGTCTCCTCAATATTTGGGGAGTTATGTTGTTTTTGAGATTGTCGTGGGTCGTCGGTCAAGCTGGTATTGGTACGTGTTTTGAAATCGAAGTCATTTGAAAACTGTGCTCATTATAATTGATAGCGAACAATAAATTGCAAAGTAAACTTTATCTTCACATATCGTTTATCGTGAAAGCAACTTTCCCAAAAAGCCTTCAATTCAAATTTGATAAAAAGTTCATAGCTTTGACGTAGAACAAAGTATTAACGTTCAAGCTCGACATTTAAATAAACGACTTTAATTGATATTAATATAATGCGAATATATCACTCACGAAGACCAAAGATAATAAGTCTGTTATTTTCAGGCCAAGCAATACTGCTCATTATGACAACATCTATAGTAACAACAATCACAGCTCTGTCGATGTCCGCAATCAGTACGAATGGCGTTATTAAAGGAGGTAAATTCTTTTTAATGTATTTCAATGAATCTTTGGTGAGTGCTTATCTTAATATATGTAAATTACGTGTCACGTTGTTGCTCCGCTATGGACTCCTAAACTACCGAACCGATATTAATCAAATTTGCACACCGTGTGAAGTTTGATCCAACTTAAAAGATAGGATAGCTTACATTTCAATTTATACCCGCAATGTAATTTTATTGCAAATTATTTGTTTATTATTTGACACAATTCTAGCAAATGGCGCTGTGTTGAAAGTACCAACGTTTCACATAAGCTACAATTTATTGGCATAACCACCAAAAAAGCATGGTGGTCTCCATGACTGGTGTTGTCCTACCGTTTCCCTTGAATAGTTTACTACTATGTAATATAACAAAAACCTTAGTCATAGCAACGCTTGGCCGGTCTCCTACTAATTTTATACGTTTTAGCTAGCATTAGCTGCGACCCGTATGGCATATTACCAATATTCCCAGTGGCTTCCCCATTAGACTGATGTATATATTTCCCGTAATCGGGACATGGGTTTATTAATTAATTTCTGTGCCTATTTCATTGATAATTTTTCTTAGCGAAGTTTATAAACACGTGTTGATTGCACAGATCACTCAGGTGGCTTTTGAACGCATGCTGTCATGGTTCCATATCCATTGACAGCATCCCGTAAGGCCCTTGAGGGACTTAAAAGGATACGGAGAAAATGTATCGAAAAGAGATATTTTGAAGAGGAAATTTAAACCTTATTCCAGGTGGAACATACTACATGATATCCCGCTCGCTAGGCCCAGAATTCGGTGGGTCCATCGGTCTGATATTCTCAATGGCGAATGCCGTTGCATGCGCTATGTACGTCGTAGGATTTGGAGAGTCTCTTATCACTTTGATACCCGAGTCAGCTTATATGGTCAGCAAGAGCTGGGTATGTTATACATTAAAGCTTTTTAATTCTTAAAAATTAATTAATATGTCATGAAAGTGAATGAAGCGAGAGAGATATGTCAGAACCGTAGCAGATAGAGATCCGTGCTCTCTGCCTAACCCTCCAGGACAAAGGCGTGATAATAAAAATTTGGTTGTCTGTAATGTCGGTTTACGGACAATACATTTACGTGATAACTCCATAAGAAAACATTACTGAAAAATTGCATGCTTTTATGAATTGAATTGAATTGAATTATTTAACTAAATTTTCGTTATTTTTTTTAATACAAAAAAGAGTTCATTGAAAATTAAATTTTTTGACGTGATAACGTCTTATAAATCGTTTGAACACCGGCTGCAAGCACGAAAAAATGACTCATTGTCACGTTCCTCGAATTCTTGCATTTTAAGAATTTGATTAGAGATACATATAATCTCATATATTATCGAAAAAAAATTCAATTAACTCTTTTGTATTATACAAAATAACGATAGTTTAGTGATAATAATTCAATATAATTCATAAAAGTATGCAATTTTTCTTTAATGTGTTCTTATGACGTTATCACATAAAATTAACGTTCGTAAACTGACTTTACACGCAACTTGGCAGGCTTTATCTTAATAACAATATATAATAGTATTTTTTATTTAATTTTTTTTTGCAGGACCAAGCAATATACGGTTGCATAACAATAGTTCTCTTAACCGGTATAGTGGTTGTCGGTTTGGAATGGGAAGCTAAGGCCCAGATAGTCCTCCTGATAATACTTTTGGCGGCCATTGCTGACTTCTGCATCGGTGCGATCATTGGACCTACTGGCGATGGGGAGATCGCTCAGGGCTTTGTCGGGTTTAATAGTAAGTTAAGAAAACGCATCCAACCAATTATGCAATTATTTATTTTAATTTTGTAATAATTTGTAAAATCTTCTGATAGTAATTTTAATTGAATTAAAATTAATCCAGTTCTATATTTATGGAATAAACGAAAATTTATTTGTACAAAACGTTTTTCAGTGACAGTGTTGCAACAAAACATGGCACCGGACTACAGGTTCTTTGAAGGAGCGGAACACAACTTTTTCTCCGTCTTTTCGATATTCTTTCCGGCTGCGACAGGAATTCTGGCTGGTGCAAATATCTCAGGGGATTTGAAGGTATTTTTTTCATTTATATTAGGGAATGGAAATGTGCGAATCTACAGTGCAGTCATTTTTTTTAAATTTACGCTCAATCTCATATAATTGATATTTGCCTAGTCTTAAATCTACATACGTTGAAACATAGTATAAAGTATTTATTTTCCATCACCAAAAAGTTTTTAACTATAGTTCAGTAAAAGATTTTTGCCAGTCATTAGCTATTTGTATAACCTATGGATCTGAATGTATCTGTTATGAATTTCAAAACTTGTCCCAGAAAGGCGTGGATGCGATTCTGATCAATCTCGCACTGTTCCCTAAATTGAATTATACCGGATTTCAATCTCGGTGGACTTTTAGTTTCCGAAAATTTGTGGACAAACACACTCATTAATATAAGCACTCGTAGAATCCCGAATAGATCGTAATACACAAATAATTTCATTTTAAAGTCGGTCGGTAGTCGGTTAAAATTCAAATAATTTCGACAATTACTATTTCATTTTAAAGTCGGTCGGTAGTCGGTTAAAATGAGACTAGTTTTTAAAGTGTTAAAGAAAACTTCCTCTAATTAAAAGGATCCGCAAAAATCGATACCAAAGGGAACACTGTTGGCCATACTTCTAACTACAATATCGTACGTGGTGATAGCCATAATAGCGGGCTGGTGCGTCCTACGGGACGCGTCCGGAGTCGTTGCGGACGTGCCCTTTGGGAATATTACTGCGTGCGTACACGACGGGAGCTGCGGTTATGGGCTTCATCATAGTAATGATGTAAGTATATTTTCGTTTTTTATTCAGCGTTATTGGTATTATTATTAGACCTTTTATAAGTGTTAAAAAATCAATTTCCTATTTTGTAAAACAGATGCTTAAACCCCTTTTTTGTAGGTAATTCGATTAGTGTCAGCCTGGGGTCCACTCATATATGGAGGCTGCTTTGCGGCAACACTATCATCAGCTCTGGCTTCACTCGTTTCTGCACCAAAAGTTTTTCAGGTATATTTTTATTTACTTTTTGAAATCTAATTAAAAATTCTATAATTTTATCTTTAATATTAGTTTTGTATGATGCCAATTCAATTAAATAAGTTTAATAAGTCGCCATTTTGAACGTCCCGTATGCAGATTGTATTACTCGCAAAAAATCAAGTCAACAATTCTCAACGCTATGTATGAGACGAGACGGTGTCCATGTAGTACGGGAGGTAGCAACGTTTGGAAAGAAATAATTTTAGGTCAGCTGATTTTGTGATATGTCTTCCTTCTTTCACTTCCGGTTAGAGTCTGGGCAGTCTGGCTGGCGGTAGCGGTTGCGTTCATTAGTGCGCATCCTATCTGTCCAGGTAATAATCCTGGATTTTAAAAGCATTTTAAGAAGCGTAATTTTTAATTTTTCGTTTTTAAATACGTCTACCTGACATACATTTTTTATTGCCAGACATTTTTCACATTGCTAACTATGTGCCAGACGCGACTTTAAGTTTTTTTTTTATAAAAATTTCAAAGTATTTTAGAATGTCTGTAATTTTAATATTATGTTATTTAAATATAAGAAAAGCTAGAAATGAATTTTGAGTGTGCCAGACATTAGATTAATTGTTAATTCGATTGCTTTAATTAAAATGAAAAAGTCATGAAAAGTATTTTACTCATTAGTCCATGAGTATCGGAACTAAACTGCCTCAACTGATATAAAGAATATTGTTTTGTCTAACACGGCCCTTGTACGGTTTTATTATGTTAAACGGTTACGGTAAAAACGAAAGCCTTAAAGGCCGGCAACGCACTTGCGAACCTTCTGTCAATGTATGCTCCATGGACGGTGGATTACTTAATATCAGATGAGCCTCCAGTTACATAAAAAGCTGGAGCTAGAAGAAAAATTCACATCGACTTGATAATCGGTTCGTTTTTTTTAAAGACGGTTTAAACATCTATCTTTTAAGTTATTTAGCGTTAAATTATAGAAAAGAATACAATATTTTTTACAGGCGTTATGTCAAGACAAGCTGTACCCGTATTTGGAATTCTTCGCAAAGGGCTACGGCAGTACCAACGAACCAGTTCGCGGATACGCGCTCACTTTTATAATAGCAGTTGCCTTTATTCTTATGGGTAAGAGTTCTATGTTTTAGTTTCACAGACAAAATTATTTTACGTTTTTATTTACGATTTCCTTTATAAAATTTTCCCTTAACAATAGTTGTGGTCTGAATATTATTGAGTTATATGTTTTTTGGAAAAAATATTTTATATTAATTTGAAATTCTGATTTAATTACATCCGTTTTAATGTGGAACTTGAAAGGTAAATACAACAAAATGGTCTATTATTTACTATTTATATATTTCACAGGTGGTCTAAATCAAATAGCACCGTTAATATCGAATTTCTTCTTGGCTGCGTATGCGCTGATTAACTTTGCGACATTTCACGCAAGTCTCGCGAAGCCAGTGGGGTGGAGGCCGACGTTTAGGGTAACATATTGCAATATATATAATATATTTTTTTAAATGGCTCTGGCACGATTTGTGCATTAGCCAGCGTCAAGTATAGGATTTTTTTATAATTCGTGCTTGCCTTTAAAAATTCGACCGTGTCCTCTATGTACGGTTTAGGCACTCGCCCGGTACCGCACAACCCTCCCAAAGGCCGAGAACAAATTTAAATTAAATTAAAACTTGCCCTCGAACCGGGAATCGAACCCGGTACCCCTCACCTAGCTGCCACTTAATAAAACCGCTAGGCTATGAGGCCCTCTGCAAATAAATTACTCTCTGTTGATGAACTTTATCATCAGCGCCATCTTCTTTTACCGAGACTAGATAAAATATGAATAATTGTTTATTATTTTAGCTCTACAACATGTGGCTATCCCTCGTGGGGTCGATGGTGTGTGTGGCGATAATGTTCGTCATCTCGTGGATAACGGCCCTCGTGACTATCGCATTCCTACTGGCGCTATATCTTCTAGTATCCTATAGGAAACCGGGTGAGTAAATCGTATGAATAAGGAAAATATTTAAAAAATATTGTGGACAAGTCATTGAGAATTTACAGTTTAAAATTTAATTTAATATTGACATAATATAATTTGTGTGATTTTAACATTGATATACAAAAAACCCAAGATGCACAGTCTCGAATAAAAGTAACGCTCGAAAGTGTCCCGAAACACTATTTCTGTCTCTTTCTATAAGTTACAAGCATATATTATTGCAAAATCAACCTTACGCGCATTGTTTAAGGTTGTTATTACAACGCAGTGTACTTAAAGCAATAAAATTTTACGACCGACCGTGGTCGGTAGGACAAGGTATTGAGTGGAGTCGAACATGACTTTTTTATTTACAACTATTTAACATAATTTTAAATTTATCCCACGTTTCGCGTGCTTTACAGCGTGCGTGGTCACGGTGACTGAAGACAAAAGGTGTTGGATTTTAAATAGTTGTAAATTTATAATAATACATAACTTTAATCCGGTTAAAAAGTTTTTTCTTTAAATTAAAAAAAAATGTTAAATTGGCTACCTCCTGACCTACACTTTATAGATGGTAAATATATTTGTCAAAAACTACACACAAAAAGTTCAAAAGTACATAAATTTATTTATAAAAAAAAACACAAATAAATAACATCGACTCCACTTATTAGAACAGGGTCATTCTTATAATGCGACTAAAATAAAAAGAAGACTGTAATGCGTTGTTCTAACACTGAACAAGCAGCCATTGAAGTTGGCCGTATAGAAGTTTGTGCGTTGAATGAAGTTTTTAGAAAAAATAAATAAAAATCACACATTGCTTGTTATAATCAGTCATAAAAACAACAAAAACTAATCAATAAAGTTTTTTAATTACCGAAAATACGATATCCCATCCTTTTTTAGCCTTCTTGACGTTATATTTTTACAATTTCTCACAGAACACTTTGGCATTTTTAACAACTGCTCCCAGACGCGAGCGACGCGAGACTATTTGAAATGAGCGCACAATTTAGAATGTTGCGCTCATTTTTTGAGGACGTTTTTTAGACGTTGAGTGTGCATCTTGGGTTTTTTGTATATCAATGGATTTTAATATATATGTATGATAATAGATATTTAATTTTAAATAGCTGTAGTCTTAAAGCGTGTCCCTAAACGTATATTGTGACAGCTCCCTAAACGTTTTATATTTTAATTTTAAATTCTAGTTTCGTTACAGTTTCTAGTTCTTAAGTTAACAATTAAAATTTAAATATTAAAAACTATGTATCTTACGTAGGGCATAAGAATTTTAAAAAGACTAAGGTGGGGCATGGCACAGAAAAGCTTGGGAAGCACTGGTCTAGGGTATCTAGGAAGTATGGCGGGGACTTAATAATCTTACGTAAGCCCTTAATAATAAGGTAATATTTTGAAGAAGTTAATTTGAATATTTACTTAGATGTCAACTGGGGTTCGACGACGCAAGCGCAGACATATAAAACGGCTCTCTCGGGCGTACATCAACTCAATCGAGTCACTGAACACGTGAAAAATTACAGGTTTGTAATATATATAGTTACGTTATAATGAATCTCGCGATATTGTAAACTGTCAAAAAGGTGTATTCTAACATATTGCTTACAATTATTTTTCGATAGTAGTTTCACATTTTGTGTTATGAATTTTTTGTGTAATGTACCAAACGGGCGGGAAACTCACCTGATGTTAAGTGATACCGCAGCTCATGGACACTCACATTGCCAGAAGGTTCGCAAGTGCGTTGCCGGCCTTTTAAGAATGCGTACGTTCTTTTCTTAAAGTCGAAATACTTCAGTGGGCAACTGGTTCCACATAGTGATGGTGCGCGGCAGAAAATGCCTTAAACTGCAGCTGTGGAGCGACGGACGTCGAGGTGATACGGGTGGAGTTTCGTGTTCTGTCTTGACGATTTATTTATATTTGAGAAGAATAAACTAAATTGCATCATAAATATAAAATTATACTATTATAAACTATGTTTTCACAGACCTCAAATCTTGGTACTGGCTGGATTTCCTGGTGAGCGGGCTCTGCTGACGGATTTCACATACCTCCTTACTAAGGGATTGTCCCTTATGCTGTGTGGACATATTGTACAGGTATCGAAGTACTTTGTTAATAAATTTATATCATTCTGTAGTTCATATTTATTTCATAGACAGTAATACTTCATAATACCAGTATAATACAAGTGGAGTATTTTACATAGTAAAATATATCCAAATATCGATATAATATTTATCAATATCCGGAAGATTCTATGGTCGGTGTGTTTTTTAATTTGCTTCTGGTATTTTTGTAAAAAATCACTACAGGTTATTATTATCAAAATATAATTTCAGAGTCAAATAAACCATCGTACCCGAGAAGCGTTGACGAACAGGGCCTATCACTGGTTTTTGAAGCGGAAAATTAAGTCTTTCTACAGCGTCGTTGACGGAGTCGACCTCAAAGATGGCGCTAGTGCACTTATACAGGTATTTACTCTACTAATACAAGTTGATTCCCGTTTAACAGGTTTTTTTTACAAAGACCTGGTAGGGAATTTGACACCAATAATAAAGTTCTCGACATAGAATTACTAGACGTAAGTAATGTAGTCTTGTCATAAATCAGTTTTTTTTCCACTTTTTTGACTAAAGTACTCGTCTCGTCTTTGTTTGCCAAATAGAGTATACGCTGTCATGAAAAGAGACACACTGATTTATTTTCTATGAAAAAGAAAATTTTTGCCGATATTTAAATGTGTAATTTTTTTTGTAGGCTAGCGGTTTAGGAAAATTAAAACCGAATATTTTGTTGATGGGTTTCAAAGAGAACTGGCAAAGTTGTAACATAGATGAAGTGGCGGACTATGTCGAAATCATGCAGTAAGTTGTTTTTTTTTTAATTTTTGTATCGGTTTTTTGTTTACTATGAACTACACAATTAAAAATTTAAAAAAATAGGCTATTAATTTCTTATATTTATATACTTTATGAACGCAAATTGTTTATTTAATTACATATTATTTTTAATTACACAATATCACTGTAATGATTAATTCATTGGATTATAAAAAAAATGAATTCCGTTATATCTATAAAGCTATTTTTATTTCTTATTCTTAACACATACATGTTATTGTAACATTATGTCGTTATTTATAAAAAAATAATAATAATTAAAAGTTAGAAAGAAGACGTATTTAATAAAGGAGTAATAAATATATTCAGTTGAAATATTGTTAAGAACTAAAGGAATTTGAATAAAGTTTAATTTAAATACTTATTCATCAGTAAATCGCTGGATGTCCACATGGCGATAGCTTTACTTCGCGTTGAAGGTGGCTTGTACAGCAGCGAGACGCTGGATGATGACCTACAAACGTGCTTGCACGATCTCAACGCTAAGGACGCGTCCGTTGTTTCACGTATGTATTAAGTCTGGTTACGGACGGGAGATCATTTCAAAATGCTAATTCTGATGCAAGTCTTTTTATTGAATATTCCTTTACAGAAATGGTATTCAGTTTGGTAACATTGTATGTAGATACATTATTTATGTATTTTGTCGGTAAATTTCTGAATTTTTGGCTATCAGAATTGGCACCGCTATATGTGGCAATAACGATTTTGTAACTAACTTGTTTACATAATATTATTGATTATTATTAATTTATTCATGATATTCATATTTTTAAGAATAATTTAAGGTGTATTGTCATTTCTTGATATCGTTCAGATAAAACATTTATGTTTGTGTTTATGTATACTCACGGTCTTCTATTACCCGTATATTCATTAAAATATATTCAGTTAATTGAATTTCTTACGAAAGGATTTTGTCTCTTTCTATCCAATTGTGTTTACTCTATGATGAAGAAAGACGAAAGTACTTTGTTAATGCAATAAACTGACTTATTTTGATGGATATACGGGGGCTCATTTTGTCATCACATAGAAAAGTGATGAGAAGACCTCGAGTGAACATTGTGCTAACTTTCGTTAGGTTCGATGGGAGACAGTCTCAAGGAGTCGAAATCGAGTGAGAGTTTAAACACACACTCTAGAGGTAAGACTTGTTGTTGTTTAACAAATTCAGTTATTTTTTTCATTTTCATTATATAATTATGGTTCTGGCTTTCATTCTCCATTTACCTCTTCCGCAATAATTGTTATTTTTCATAATGTTTTTTGTTGCGTAGTTTTTGAGTTTATCTATGTGCGGTAAAGGGACTTTATTTTATATTATCTGAGGATATAAACAAGTGGGTACGATTTCTTGATTGAGATTTGATTTACTTTTGAGAGCTACCAAACTGTTGACATTTTTGAATATGATTTCAGGTAGTAGTATGTCTGACCTATCCCTGGGTTCGCCGGAGCACGTGTCACGAGACCCGGGTGCCAAACCTGACAAAACTACTGACAGTTGTAAGAATAGGTAAGATTAGTGGAATTTAAAAATATAAAATATAAATAATCACGTATTTTACCACGATTTAAACCCAGAACCTCACTTAATAAATCGGTGGTGCACAGATGGGGATCGAACCTTTGACCTCAGGAATGAGTGTTGACCGCATGTTGCATCTACTAGGTAAACACTGCCTACATTGCATCTGTTTTCGATATTTCCGAATTTTTTAAAAATTAATACCGATTTATAGGATTGCATACCTACTACTAAAGAAATCCGTGGGGTGAGAGTTTCATTTTGCTTGACACCAAAAAACTTCAACAGCTTCGTTAGTGCTAAATTGCTAATGTTTGAAATTATTTACATCATATTAAATCACTTGCTTAATATTCATAGCCATTTTCTATTTTATTAGTATTCAGTTACCTAAAAATAGGAAATAAGGATATAAATAAATTTCAAAGTCCTTTACAATCCACTTATAGAGTGTCGAAATAATCTCAAAAGTCGAGGCTCGATAATGTTTCGTAAGGAATAACAAAATGTGTTTATTTAAGAATATTATTTTAGGGAAGTTTTTTTTTATTATAAATTTATTCCTATATTATCGCAAATTTTAAATAGTCAGTCACCGTGACAACGCCTGCTTTAAAGCACGCGAAACGTCGGATAAATTTAAAATTATGTTAAAAAAAAAAAAAAAAAAAAAAAAAAAAAAAATTTAAAATGGGGAAAAAAAAGTGTTTTATTAAATGAATAAAAGTTATGTTAATCAAAGACAATAACAAAATGTGTTTAATTTAGAATATTATCGCTAGTACAGTAAAAGGTCTGGTTTTAGCGCTAGGTATGAATCCCGTAGATATATTATGTATGTGACACAAACACAATAACCACTAATTAAAGTAAATGTTTAGTGATAGTCCTTACGAAAGGAAGTTCTTTAAAAAAGTGCGTGCGTACACATGTCAAAAGTGAAACTTCTTTGGCAAACTAATTTTTAAGTCTTGTTAATATTTATACAAATCTAAAACTTTAGATTTCCGAGACTTAGAGGGAGGAAAAAGGAAGGAATGATATGAATTTAATGAATTTAATTGTCATTAAAATATTAAAAGTGTCAAAAATTTATACAAATTATACATTATTTTTTTTAAATTTATTTCTTCGATAATAAAAACACGTGGCATAATCTACAATTCGTCATTTGAGAATTCAATAAATTATTTTGCATAAAATATAAAATGCTAAAATTTCATAAATTCTCTTTACGAAATTTTAATTTTAAAAGTAGAATTTCTGTAAGGTAATTCGCACTTCTCAAAAACGCTGCACATCTTCGTGACGATTTCGTAAAAGTTTACCCTCATGCGCCTAAAGAAGTTTCACTTCAAAAATTTAAAAGAAAGATTTCAAATTCAGAAATTATACTCAAAATTAGTGATGAAAAGTTTGTATGTGTTAGCTATATTATTTGAATAATTCATACTTTTGATTTATGTTCAGCAAAGGTATTGGCCGTCGTATCGGAATAGGTGCGGCTCGGCGGGCGTCTTCGTTCACATCTGTAGAACAATTTACGCGAAGACAGAATGGCACGGTCGATGTATGGTGGTTGTATGATGATGGAGGTTAGTTTTTGATTACTAGTTGAACACGATTTTTTTCTATTTATTATATACGGCCATCTCTAGCTGTGCACGGCTGGATATTGTTTCTCAAATATGTATTTGACTGGGTACAGTCATTTTTTAATTAATCGTTGTAAACATACAAAAATATACAAATCTTTCCACTTTCTTATTTATAGAAGATATTGATTTAAATATACATACACAACTTATAGTACCAGTTGTACCCGGTTTGATTTCTTGGGATTTTTTTTGTTTTGCTGTAAAGGTGGGTACTTACGTTACGAGGTGTAATGTAACATTCGCTGTGTTCTAAAATCGCCGTAACATGCTCGTCAAAACTCTGTGCTCCGCTTTCACGAGATGGCCGACAGCGAGGACGTGTTGATATCTTTCATTCTATTTAATTAATGTTCCATCCAAATTAAGAAGAATAAAAAACGTTACTGGACATCAAACTTATTTAAACAGTGGCGTATGTGGTGGTTTGTCATTGATTGCAATATTAAAAAAAAACAAATGATTACTGGACAGTATAAAAACTTTGTACGCATATGTCTCCGATCGATTTTGAAGAACTGTTGAATTTAATTGGATCAAAAGTACCTAAAAAAGACACAAATTATAGAAAATCATAATCATGATCACTCACTGAACCGAGTAACAGTCCTCAAGGGATGCGACGAGTACTGACTGAACCGAGTAACAGTCAAAGGATGCGACGAGTACTGACTGAACCGAGTAACAGTCAAAGGATGCGACGAGTACTGACTGAACCGAGAAACAGTCAAAGGATTCGCCGAAAAACCTACACCCGGCTGTAAAAATTGCAGTAAATTGCCGCTTACGTAAAATACTTGAACGGCCCAAATGAATAAATCAACGAAATTAAAAAATAAATATTTGTTTAAGGTTTGACGCTGCTCCTACCATACATACTGTCAACGCGTCGCGCCTGGGCTTCTAGTCCTCTGCGCGTCTTTACACTCGTCAATAAGAATACGGAAATGGACATTGAAGAACGGAAGTAAGTTTTATTAATATTTTGGTACGGAGAAATGCTGACTGAAGAAATTTATTATCTTCAAACCTTCGTAGAAAGACAAGTTTTTTTTAAAATAAAACCTATTTTTTCAGTATGGCGTCGCTACTTTCCAAGTTTCGTATAGATTACTCAGCGTTAAAGATGATCTCGGACATCACAAAGAAGCCAAAGGAGTCGACGCTGGCTTACTTCGAGAAATTAATTGCGCCCTTCAAAGTACCGGACGACACGCCTGATAATGGTAATTAATTTAATGTATTTTTGTCAATTACCCTTTGAATAAGTCAAATTGTACAGGTTCACAGTATCGCCAGATTGTGATTGGTCTATTTCATAGGTTACGATAGCTGCTTGTTGGTATGGTTGGTGGACTCAGTTTCCGCACTTGGACTCATAATCGGTCCGTTGTTCGTAAAGTTCTGGCTAACTCCTTCCAAAAGCACAGAAGCTTCCTGGGCACTTCGCAGGCTTCACAGAGCGACCTTGCTGCTCGAGGATTTCTAGGTTGTTAAGCCACAGCCTCGCATTCCAGGACTACGTGGGTGACTGATTCCTTTGCGCTGAAACAGCCTCTGTTCATGGGGCTGTCTGTCGCGCCTAGGACAAAGAGATGATTATTGAGGAGACAATGGCCCGTAATTGTCCCTATCATTGATAGCTGCTAGGCTCATTAAAGAAAAAAACTTAATCTCTGAGTCATTTACTTCCAAAATATAAAAAATATCCAATCCGTATAGACGTAAATAATGAATATTTAAATTGTTCTAATTTTTTTTCAGGTGGAATATCAGAAGCCGATTTCTTAGCGGCTCGCGATCGGACCTATCGTCATTTAAGATTACGCGAATTAATCGGCGAACATTCGCATAACGCTCGCCTTGTTTGTGTGACGCAACCGATGCCCCGACGGCGTGGTGTGCCCGCACCTTTATATATGGCTTGGTTGACCGCTATAGCTACAGCTGCTAAACAGACTCTGCTTGTTAGAGGAAACCATGCTGCTGTTTTGACATTCTACTCGTAATTCACGAAATAAAATTACGGATTTGTGAAATCTAGTACAAATCGAGTAAAGAAGCTTTCAGTATTATTTTTTGGTCAAAATACAGGAATAAAATTCATTAAGAAATTAATTATAATTGGGATCTAAAAATCGATGATTCTGAAGTGTGAATCAGGCAACATATTCAAGTGTCAAGTCTTTGATAATTTTGTATCTGTCAATGTCAAAATGACAAGCGGAAATTTGGTTTGAATATCAATATGAATTGCTAAAGTACATATTAAAATGTAATTGGCGCTAGACTAATATTTAATCTAAACCTAAATAAAAAAATCAGTAAATATTATATGCATATTCTGGAAATTGAAATGAAATTGACTAATTGGTGAACTAATTTATCGGAAATATACATGTTTGTATAAATTTTAACTTTTTTCTATAATCAATTAAACAAAATTTTGATGGATTTACTACTCTTAGTTCGGGTCTTACAACACCCGTGTGTCTTGTAAGACTTTTTTTTTGTACTATACCAATAAATCATTTTTTTGAGTGATTTTTGTGCTATATGTAGGAAATTTAAATTTCTAGTTGTATTTATACTAGAAGATCGAGTGCTCGTATTGCTATCTCTTTCTACAATTGTAGTAGAGACAAGGATAGATGATATGACAAACTTATTTTACAACATTGTACTAAGATACCTTGAATGTGCCTAAATTTTGTAATTTTTGTATTTAATGTAACTGAAATGTGGAATCTCGAATGATCTGTTCTCTTAGTATGCTTTTGAAGGTTAGCAAGGCAAAAAAAATTAAGAATGTGAAAAAAGTTTTAAATAAAATAATGATGTGTGAATTTGATTGATTTCCTTTTAACTATTAATTTGTGTAATTTAATTCTTGAAAATGTTTGAAATGCTTTTTTAGAAGCTTTCCTATAACTGTACCTGGACATACATTCTTAAATTCACAAACATATCAACATACATTCCGTAAAAAAAATTTTCGACATTTGCTTTTATTGATTTATTCTGATCGCAATATCGATAAATTCCTAGTTATATTTTTATTTATTTCCCTAACATAGATTTAAAATTAATTTAAAACTAGAAATAATTTAGTTTAATAGTGAAATTGTTTGCGTCGTATTTTTAAATTGACTAACATCACGGAGTAGCTAAATAAGGATGTGTTTGCAAACGTGCTTTAATTGTGGGATTAAATGATTAATAACACTTTACAGATTTTGTGACTCAATCTCGCGAATAGTACAAAACTCGACCAGAGCCTCGCAACCTTATTTATCTATTTTTCGCGCCTAATATCTATAAGTTTGTGTGTTAGATAATTGTATAAATGTGTTGCAGCTAAAACAAAATTGAATATTACGATAATATAAAAAAAAACGGTATTTCTTTTGATTGGTTCCTCATAATTTGTGTAATATTTAGCTGTGACAGAAGCGAATCTATTCTGTACCTGATTTTCCTTTTCCATATTTATGTTACCAGTCCATTTATACAGTATATTGTATTTCGTAATAAAATTTTAGTGATATTTGTGTTTTATTATTTTTACATCCCTTATAAAAGTATAATTGGAAAATAATATATGTTAACCAAGGAAGTCCTCCATGTTGACGTATCATGTCGCGTTTTGATGCGTATTGGAAAAGAGATACTATTGACTAATCACAGTCTAGCGGAGAGCTCAATCATTTCGTCCTACGTTCGCTTACAGGAACAATTTAAATTATAATAGGAGTGTTACTTATACACTGCAGACGCTTCATACAACTACGTGTTTATGTCAGAATTATGAAATTACATAATTCTGACATAACTAGCAGGATTCATTAATGTAATTGCGGGCTTTAACAAGTATTAAACGGTAGTTATTACCCTGGAAAGTGACCAACTCAATAAAACACAACAGTCGTTATTTTGAGTCGCGTAACCATTCATGCGGCGCTTGAATGTCTTAGAAATCTAAAATAATCTTCTATCATGCAATACCGGGTTCTCGTGCAAACATTCGGGCCCATGGACCGTGTCCTTCGATCAGTTATTCGTTTTCTAAAGCACTATTATCTCTATTCTCAATGATTCTTTATTGTCGTTGACAAGAGGCTAGCGACTGGTTTCTGTCGTAGTCCGTACAGTGATCGCTGCAATCTGCGTTCTGTGGTCAGTCGGATTTTAAACGGCGTTGAGGACGCTAGCACGTTACTTTGACGCGGGAACTACGAAAAAGTGGTGTATCAACTTTTTATTGTGCCTTTCTGTGAGTGTAAACGTGATTTTGTGTTAACCCGGATATTAAGGATACAGGTATTTATGACATAAATATAAGTTTTCTTTTATTATAAGTTTTTTTAATAGATTATTTAGCTTTATTAAAACTAGTTTTCCAAGTGACTATAAACCAGGAACTCGCTGCTATTTTGTAAATAGAATGCATAGGTTTTGAAATAGATTACCGCCAGTTTTTGGATACTTGAAGAAAATATAATTGGATAAGTAATCTAAATATACCAAAACAATGAAAAACTGGTTTTAATTCATGTTTATTTCTTCGTAATCTAAATTTACCTTAGTGTGACAACATTTAAAGGTATGTCCATGTGAAGCCAGGTTACTATTTAGTTGAGTTATAAGCTAAATGAGATACACAGATTTGTGACCGTGAAATCAAAGACCAAAGCTTTTGAAAGTCGTTTTTTAAACCGCGACTAATCGAGGAATAGGTCGTGAAAATATCTAAAAATAATGTACAACTATTAAAAGTACAACTTTAAGTCTAGATTATTTAAGTATAGTCCGTAATACAATAAATTCTAGGTATAACATTTATTGGTTAAAAAAAATATTACAGCTAAGTATTTATATGTACTTAGTTAATTATAATCTCAAGTTGACGTAATTTTGGGATAGTTGGGGTTGGTTTTTATAAAATAAAAAAAACGTAGAACCCCTGTTATTTGGGGTAGAGGTACTTACTCTGTTCTTTTTTCGCATGTAATAAAATATTATGCAAACATTTTTTTTTTAAATTTATTTGATTTTAAAATGTTTCATATTTTAAATTCCGCTCTTAATTTGTATCCCTTGTAAATTGGTTCTACCTTCCGCCTTCTTTATTCTTCTCATATCAATAGAGTCGTCTAATAAAAATTCCAGTTCGCATTAATCAAGGCCAAGGAATCATAAAATCATTGATAGTTATGCTTTCTTGACCAAGAAATGTTTGAGCAGAAATTCTTCAACGATAAATGTTTATATATTTAAATTCGTGAACCAGGTTTCATTTTTAATTAGCGATCGTAAAGACTGTGGACATTATTCTCGACTCCAAGTGTTTAAACAATTGAACGCTTTTCAGAAAGTTTACTAGGTTGATTTTTATTTACGTATTTATATAAAATAAATTATAAACTAAGGTGGATATAATTTTAAAATGTATTGATTTTGTCGTCATCTTTATTATTATCCACAATCACTTATCATGTCCACCACCGAATTATCTATTGGTATGCAATTCAAATGTTCTTTGAAGTGAGCATTCTTGAAGAACAAAGGGTGTTAAAACAAGGAATGTTAAGATTATAAAATGATAAATTCTAGACGATAATATCTATCTATTGAATCTGTTGAAAGGAAACTTTGTATGGGTGTTTCTATTTTATATATGAGTAACTAAAAATGTATGTTATATGATTATATGATTCAATGTAACTAAAAATGGATAAACGTTGAATCCCGTTAAAATGTTTTGCTTTCATGTGTGGAGAAAACAGAAAAAATCTTTACATTAAAAACCAGTTGTACATAAACCCTTCTAAATGATTTCATTGTCAGCTCAAAGTTCAAACAATTATCACAACAAAGAAAAATATAAATACGTGAGGCTGTTATCTCGATTTTTTCACTTCCGTTGTAACTAATTTGTATGGCATCTAGAGAATCTTTCATCCTTCTGCGTATTTAAATTCCTGGAGGCCATACAAATGCCACGCAAGCCTAGTGAAAGGCCGGCTGAATTCTAATGAAAATTTACATAGGTATAGTTATTTTCAACATATTCTAAAAAAAAAATATTTTTATCACGAATTAACTTTTGAATTTAACTTTCCTTACGAATTTAATTCTTTTTAATTTGGAAATGGCGAACAGTTTTATGAAACTCAGAAAAAAAATTGTATTTACACGTATTATAGGTTATAGGTTGGTGGAGTCAGTTTCCGCACTTAGACTCATAATTGGTCCGTTGTGCGTACAGTCCTGGCTAATTAAGCCAGTCTAGCTCCTTCCAGAAGCACAAGTCTTTTAGGCACTTCACAGGCTTCACGGAGCGACCTCATTGTTCCGAAGATTTCTGCACGTTGTTTAGCCACAGCCTCGCATTCCATGACTTCCTGATTCCTCTGCGCTGAAACAGCCTCTGCACAAGGGGCTTTCTGTCGCGCCTATTTACACGTATTAATAAAACCTAATTTTATAATCGTGTGATTAAAAATAATATTAACGTGTCTATCTTGCCTAAGTTGAGATACATTATATATCATATACAATTTATTTATACTTGTACAAACGTTGATTACAAATAACAAAAAACGATTACATAAAGGCTGTTATCTAATATCAAGGGGCGTTTAACAAACCTACCATACTGTAGCAAAAAGTTACTTGTGCAATCACAATTCTGTTTTAGGCACGTTATACAGATCATGACGAAAGTGAAACCACACCTTTGATCTATGCGTCGAATTCGTTGATTGTTAAGCAAAAATATTCAAAGAAAACATCAAGTTTCATTGCTTTTATAAGTGCAATTGTAATATTTACGGTTTTCATTCATGTTCGAATAAAAAAGCAGTTTAAAAGTAATGTTTTGAAGGACTGTTAAGGATTGTGAGTGAATTAAACTTTACATGGTTTGTCTACAACGTAGGCAACTATAATATTTTGAATTTTATTTTAAATTCCCAGTAGGTTTCTGATACCAATTTTAATGCGCATC